AATTTAATAACAGTGGATTAATTTATAAACTGTGGATCAATTTATTAACAGTGGATTTACTGACAGTTGATTAATTTAATAACAGTGGATCAATTTATTAACAGTGGATTTACTAACAGTGGATCAATTTATTAACAGTGGATTTACTAACAGTTGATTAATTTAATAACAGTGGATTTACTAACAGTGGATTAATTTATTAACAGTGGATTTACTAACAGTTGATTAATTTATTAACAGTGGATTTACTAACAGGTGATTAATTTATTAACAGTGGATTAATTTATTAACAGTGGATTTACTAACAGTTGATTAATTTAATAACAGTGGATTAATTTATTAACAGTTGATTTACTAACAGTTGATTAATTTAATAAGAGTGGATTTACTAACAGTGGATTAATTTATTAACAGTGGATTTACTAACAGTGGATCAATTTATTAACAGTGGATTTACTAACAGTTGATTAATTTAATAACAGTGGATTTACTAACAGTGGATTAATTTAATAACAGTGGATCAATTTATTAACAGTGGATTTACTAACAGTGGATTAATTTATTAACAGTGGATTTACTAACAGTTGATTAATTTATTAACAGTGGATTTACTAACAGGTGATTAATTTATTAACAGTGGATTAATTTATTAACAGTGGATTTACTAACAGTTGATTAATTTATTAACAGTGGATTTACTAACAGTGGATCAATTTATTAACAGTGGATTTACTAACAGTTGATTAATTTAATAACAGTGGATTTACTAACAGTGGATTAATTTAATAACAGTGGATCAATTTATTAACAGTGGATTTACTAACAGTGGATCAATTTATTAACAGTGGATTTACTAACAGTTGATTAATTTAATAACAGTGGATTTACTAACAGTGGATTAATTTATTAACAGTGGATTTACTAACAGTTGATTAATTTATTAACAGTGGATTTACTAACAGGTGATTAATTTATTAACAGTGGATTAATTTATTAACAGTGGATTAATTTATTAACAGTGGATTTACTAACAGTTGATTAATTTAATAACAGTGGATTAATTTATTAACAGTTGATTTACTAACAGTTGATTAATTTAATAAGAGTGGATTTACTAACAGTGGATTAATTTTTAACAGTGGATTTACTAACAGTTGATTAATTTATTAACAGTGGATTTACTAACAGTTGATTAATTTAATAACAGTGGATTAATTTATTAACAGTTGATTTACTAACAGTTGATTAATTTAATAACAGTGGATTTACTAACAGTGGATTAATTTATTAACAGTGGATTTACTAACAGTTGATTAATTTAATAACAGTGGATTAATTTATTAACAGTTGATTTACTAACAGTTGATTAATTTAATAAGAGTGGATTTACTAACAGTGGATTAATTTATTAACAGTGGATTTACTAACAGTTGATCAATTTATTAACAGTGGATTTACTAACAGTGGATCAATTTATTAACAGTGGATTTACTAACAGTTGATTAATTTATTAACAGTGGATTAATTTATTAACAGTGGATTTACTAACAGTTGATTAATTTAATAACAGTGGATTAATTCAATAACAGTGGATTAATTTATTAACAGTTGATTTACTAACAGTTGTTTAATTTAATAACAGTGGATTTACTAACAGTTGATTAATTTATTAACAGTGGATTTACTAACAGTTGATTAATTTATTAACAGTGGATTTACTAACAGGTGATTAATTTATTAACAGTGGATTAATTTATTAACAGTGGATTTACTAACAGTTGATTAATGTAATAACAGTGGATTTACTAACAGTGGATTAATTTATTAACAGTGGATTTACTAACAGTTGATTAATTTATTAACAGTGGATTTACTAACAGTTGATTAATTTAATAAGAGTGGATTTACTAACAGTGGATTAATTTATTAACAGTGGATTTACTAACAGTGGATCAATTTATTAACAGTGGATTTACTAACAGTTGATTAATTTAATAACAGTGGATTTACTAACAGTGGATTAATTTAATAACAGTGGATCAATTTATTAACAGTGGATTTACTAACAGTGGATCAGTTTATTAACAGTGGATTTACTAACAGTTGATTAATTTATTAACAGTGGATTAATTTATTAACAGTGGATTTACTAACAGTTGATTAATTTAATAACAGTGGATTAATTTATTAACAGTTGATTTACTAACAGTTGATTAATTTAATAAGAGTGGATTTACTAACAGTGGATTAATTTATTAACAGTGGATTTACTAACAGTGGATCAATTTATTAACAGTGGATTTACTAACAGTTGATTAATTTAATAACAGTGGATTTACTAACAGTGGATTAATTTAATAACAGTGGATCAATTTATTAACAGTGGATTTACTAACAGTGGATTAATTTATTAACAGTGGATTTACTAACAGTTGATTAATTTATTAACAGTGGATTTACTAACAGGTGATTAATTTATTAACAGTGGATTAATTTATTAACAGTGGATTTACTAACAGTTGATTAATTTATTAACAGTGGATTTACTAACAGTGGATCAATTTATTAACAGTGGATTTACTAACAGTTGATTAATTTAATAACAGTGGATTTACTAACAGTGGATTAATTTAATAACAGTGGATCAATTTATTAACAGTGGATTTACTAACAGTGGATCAATTTATTAACAGTGGATTTACTAACAGTTGATTAATTTAATAACAGTGGATTTACTAACAGTGGATTAATTTATTAACAGTGGATTTACTAACAGTTGATTAATTTATTAACAGTGGATTTACTAACAGGTGATTAATTTATTAACAGTGGATTAATTTATTAACAGTGGATTTACTAACAGTTGATTAATTTAATAACAGTGGATTAATTTATTAACAGTTGATTTACTAACAGTTGATTAATTTAATAAGAGTGGATTTACTAACAGTGGATTAATTTTTAACAGTGGATTTACTAACAGTTGATTAATTTATTAACAGTGGATTTACTAACAGTTGATTAATTTAATAACAGTGGATTAATTTATTAACAGTTGATTTACTAACAGTTGATTAATTTAATAACAGTGGATTTACTAACAGTGGATTAATTTATTAACAGTGGATTTACTAACAGTTGATTAATTTAATAACAGTGGATTAATTTATTAACAGTTGATTTACTAACAGTTGATTAATTTAATAAGAGTGGATTTACTAACAGTGGATTAATTTATTAACAGTGGATTTACTAACAGTTGATCAATTTATTAACAGTGGATTTACTAACAGTGGATCAATTTATTAACAGTGGATTTACTAACAGTTGATTAATTTATTAACAGTGGATTAATTTATTAACAGTGGATTTACTAACAGTTGATTAATTTAATAACAGTGGATTAATTCAATAACAGTGGATTAATTTATTAACAGTTGATTTACTAACAGTTGTTTAATTTAATAACAGTGGATTTACTAACAGTGGATTAATTTATTAACAGTGGATTTACTAACAGTTGATTAATTTATTAACAGTGGATTTACTAACAGGTGATTAATTTATTAACAGTGGATTAATTTATTAACAGTGGATTTACTAACAGGTGATTAATTTATTAACAGTGGATTTACTAACAGTTGATTAATTTATTAACAGTGGATTTACTAACAGGTGATTAATTTATTAACAGTGGATTAACTTATTAACAGTGGATTAATTTATTAACTGTGGTTTAAATTATTAGGGACCGTTCAAGTATTACAGACGCAGATTTATTACAATTATTTACCCCATATCCCCCTTGCCAGCAAAAGTAAGCAAAGCTCTTAACCCCTCCCCCCATGCTTACGTAAACATTTTCAATTACTATATTTTTTTTAATAGAAGTCCAGAAAAAAATTATAATTGAATTTTTTTATGGATCTACTCGATGTGACGATTAAACATTAACAACTACCGATGACGTAATCGATACCTAGTCTCCCCTAACCCCATGTCATCCAAAATAAGCAAAACAAAGACCCCCCGCCCCTCCATAGTTCTTACGTAATACTTGAACGGCCCCTAATTAGTATTCACATAAATATTTAATTTAACACATGTCTAACAATTTGTTTTTATTTTAATAAATGTCAATATGAAACTTAATCTACCCTCAAAAACTATAAAAACTCAGGTCTATGGTCACAAGTGTACACAAGTGATCGCAAGTATCACTTATGTCACTATTGGCATCGCTCCAACGCTTGTGAACCAAACCGATACACTTTACTCACTTATCCATTCCAGTTGAACACTACTCAATATACAGGGTGACTGGTGAACTACTATCAATATTTAAGGAGTATACTCGGTACATGATTCTCATTCGAATTATGTAAAAAAATAGGCACTTAATTTTTGACAAAATTTCTTTATAAATAAATAAAGTGTGGACACGTCCCAAGTGTTCCAAGTGTGGACGCGTGCGGCGGCGTGCTGATACAACACCACGCCGCCGCACGCGTATGTGTGAGTGTGTGTGTATACCTAATCTGTACGGTGTTCACACGATGCGTAATGAATTACATAACTTTTGGTTAACTTTACTTAGAAGTTTATTAATATTTATGTTATATTAATTTTTATTTTGTCATATATGATCGTCAAATATCACGTCCTCAAGTATTGATAGTAATTCACCAGTCACCCTGCATATACATACACAAAATTGTGTTTCAAAACTACATAAAGTAACTTTATTTATTGGAATTAAATTTGTCTATGTAATATTAAGACTGAATAGAATTCTTTTTATGTAACTGCATTCTTATCAAACTTTGTCATTACAATTTATTTATATTAAAAAAAAGTTTTTAAGGGCCTTTTCATTGAAATTAAATAGTCAATGGAGACCATATATACAGGTATATATATACAAAACATTGATCTTTTCAAGTTACTGAACTATTTTTAAACTCACATTATAATCTCCTATACATATATGTATGTATATATTAAGTCTCCGCCGCTGAAACTGCTAGTAACTTCTTGTATGACCCGGCGAGTGATTTAGCAGCCAATAACAGAATCTCCCTCCGAGACACACCAGTTGCAGCCTCCTGCCATTGAGTATGTGGTACCTGCATTAACAAACATATACTTTCCATTTAATTACTATAATAATTAAAATTTTAAATACAGTTTGGAGAATAGTTTACTACAATGTTTATGTAATCTTTATATATTTATAATTATTTAATCTTTGCTTGTTAAAGTCATTCACAGAAATAAATGTGACACAAAACCACTTCCATAATAGTCACTTAGTATAAAATTATATACCATTATTAAGCTCATACTGCCAACATAATAAACAAATACCTTCAAGTTAGCAGCCATAATAGATCCAACGGTTACACTGAAGCCGGTCTGCTCATGTTGGTACTCCTGCGTGGAAGCGCGGGCTGCGGTCACCACCGCTGAAGGTACGGGGGTGCTCTGAGACAACACTTGATGCTCCACACCTAGAGATGGCTGAGATAGTACTAGCAGAGATAGTTCGTACCATCTGGAATTATATGGAAATAGAGATATTATGAATGACCTAACAACTATATCTTTATGTAACTACAAAGACTCAAGGATTAAATGGTTTTTTATGTAATGTAAATTTATTTTACTGTAACACACGGTTTCATACAATTAACATTGCATTTAGAGTATATGAGAAGTCGTGATGGCCTAGAGGTTATAAAAAAGGTCGGCCTCTCCTGCACGAGGGCGCGGGTTCAAAACCTGGCAAGTACTAATGATAACGTCGAGTGTGTGTGTGAGTGATTTTTGTCGAGTCATATATACTTTCTATTGAGTATTTACACCACTAACAGACAGTGAAGGAAAACATCGTGTGGACACTTGGACGTATAATTTCCAATTATAAACTGAAAATTGCCAACCCGCATTAATCATGTTAATTTATACTCAAACATTCTCCATGTGAGATAATGCTTTTGTGCAACAGTTGGTTTAGATAGGCTGACAATGATGATAAAATTTATATTAAGATGGTACATATCACAACCAAAAAATTTCTAACATAATAAATATTTAACCTATCAGCAATGGGCTCCTGTATGAATCCTTCGACTGCTACAACTGGCACGTTGTTAGTGAGGTCACTGTGTGATCGTATGTATGCTATACGTTGCTTGGCGGCTGCATATGCGGCCGCGTAGCCGACTGGCTGAGCCGCTGTGACGTCACTCTGGGCTGCATAGCCACTGCACATATAAAACATTAAAAAACGTGGCTAGGTTTAAAATACTGTATCATAATAATTTAGTATTTTTACTGTCTGGGCATTATTCTTATCTAAGAATTATTATGAAATCTTTTTTAAAAGGAATCCAAAAATTATTTATTTATTTACTATATAACTCAATTTGAAAGATTTGACTGTTGTAAATTATTAAGTGTAAATATATTTAATTGTTATTGACTCTCCTTAATATATCATACTCACATTACAGTCGCCTTGCCAAAAACTGTCTGAAATGCCTCTCTTATTGGTGATATTTTCACTTCTTTATCAGATGCCACCACTATAACTAAGTCACCTCCGCTTCCTGCAAGTAAAAAAACACTTTAAAGTTTTTTGCTCATTTGATAGTCAGAGCATCTTTAGTCAATTTAATAATTACATATAGTAGGAGTACAAATAAGTTTCCGCCGTTTTATTGTAGATGGCGCGGCACCGAGTTTCGGTTATTTTTCGCAGATGATAACGGGCTTAAAAAATAGTTTGGACATTCAAGAACAATATAACCAACTAATCTTATGGATTTTATATTGGTAAAATAAATTTTTTATAAAATGAAAATGTCAAAATTTCAACCACGTAAGCGTCATTTGCGGGAAATAATAGTTTACTTCTTTAATTTAAAGAAATCTGCTGCTGAGGCGCATCAATTGCTGGTAGAAGCATATGGTGAGGGTGCTTTGAGTGAGAGAACGTGTCGAGAGTGGTTCCAAAAGTTTAAAAACAGTGATTTCGACGTACAAGACAAAGATCGCAGTGGAAGGCCAAAAATTTACGAGGATGCAGAATTAGAGGAATTATTGGACGAAGATTCATCTCAAACACAAAAAGAAATTGCTTTAACATTAGAAGTCACTCAGCAAGCAGTATCACATCGTTTAAAATCATTAGCAATTATTCATAAACAAGGAAATTGGGTTTCGTACGAATTAAAGCTGAGATATATTGAACACCGATTATGCTTAAGTGAAATGCTGCTAGCCAGACATAAAAAAAGGGTTTTTTACATCGTTATCATAAATGGTGATGAGAAGTGGATACATTAAGACAATCCAAAAAGAAGAAAATCATGGGGATTACCTTGCCACGCGTTAACATCAACAGCAAAACCGAATATTCACGGAATAAAACTTATGCTGTGTATTTGGTGGGATCAGCTAGGTGTAGTGTATTGAGTTGCTTACTCCTAGCGAAACAATTACAGGAACCCTCTATCGAACACAATTGATGAGATTGAGCCGAGCTCTGAAGGAAAAACGCCCTCAATACTATTCCAGACCCGAAAAAATTATTCTTCTGCATGACAATGCTCGTCCACATGTTTCGGCTCCCGTGAAAAAGTACTTGGAAACACTTGATTGGGAAGTGTTACCCAACCCGCTGTATTCACCAGACATTGCATCGTCCGAATATAACCTGTTCCGGTCCATGGCACATGCTGTGACGGCGCAGCGGTTCACATCTTATGAGGATACGAAAAATTGGGTTGATTCGTGGATATCCTCAAAAGACAAGGAGTACTTCAGACGTGGAATTCGAATGCTGCCTGAGAGATGGGAAAAAGTGGTTACAAGTGATGGGCAGTATTTTTAATAAATTCATATTACCATTCTTCTATAATAAATATTAAATTTGTGTTCAAAAAAGGCGGAAACTTATTTGTACTACTGTATAAAAAAATTCAATATTTATTGTATAAACATACTTAAATATTCTTTCATCTGCGGGTCCAATGTAGTAATCATTGAGTCAACTGAACTCTTTGCCTTCTCGGCAACCTTCTGCAATAACCCTCCGCTAGATACAGCCCCTTTCATCCAAGTTAGTAATCCACTACCTGGCATTACATCACCTGTAATAAAATAATTTAAAGATTAGAATATACAGTATAAGTATCCCATCAAAATAAAAATATATATATTTAAAATAAATCAGCAATTTGATGTATATATGAATGTATTAGTCTATGTATAAATGCAATTTATTTCCAATACAGGCTTTCTGTCAGTTACATGAAAATTGTTTTACAATAACTTTGACATACAATTGTAAAATTACACTTGTCGTAATTTAAAAAATTTAAACCAATAGAACTAGCTTCCTGAAAATGTCTGCATCATATCCTGAAAAACCTTATCAGATTATAATAAAAACTGAAAAGCACATATGTATGTCAGAGCAGTTCTTATAAAAGAATAAAAATATTTAGTATTGAAACAATGTATACCAATTTTATCAATTTCTGATATTGATTCTGTCATAGACTCTGGTGTCAGCGTTGTCAATGAATCTTCAGGTGAGCGTATCGGGAGTGTCGGCTCACCTTTTGATAATGGAATTGCAGGACTGTGAAATAATTAGTCATTATTTTTAAAAATATCAATTTTAAGTGTATAACTATTTACAAGAAGCACCAAAGCATTATGTATTAAACAAAGGAATTTGAAAAAAATAAATTACAAAAGTGTTTTGATGTTTATGACAAAATGAAAATTTTATTATATTTTACAATTTTAGTATGTGTTCTTGGTTATTAAATAGTTTTAACTTAAATTCTAATCATAAAAATGTATGTTTAGCTTAAAGATTTAATAATGTGTGTTAATTATAATTTGTTTAAAATTTTTAACATTAAGAAACAATTATAGCATATATTGTCATCAGTATGAAAGAATTATGAAATAAATATGTATTGAATATGGTTTACTTTCAATTTACTTTTAAATTGTGAGTTGTTACCAATTAAAAAATAATAATTTTTCTGTGTTTCTCAATAACAAAAATCAATTACCTAAACTTCTCTGGAGAATCAGGTGATGGGTTATTTTGATGATGTGTCTGTTGTACTGGCTGGGGCTCCTCATTTTTAACTATCTGCGGCGGTAATTGATCCAAAGGAATAGGTTGAATATGAGATGCCTTAAATACAAATAAAAAAATCACAAACAATTAAATGGGTCAAAAATATATAAACAACATTTACTTACATTAAATAACTCTATTTTTTATTTTCGAAACCTAAGATGTTCTTTTGAAAACCACGGAAGACAAAAACATACCAATTGAATAGCTTCATACAATGACGTAAACAGCTGATGATACGGAATGGAATTATAAAACGCCTTACTATTTGGGGAGCTGGGATAACAGGCGCGACGGTCGTTGTAGTAACAAAATTTGGCAGTTGAGTAGGTGGTGCTACGTTGGATAACAAGTTACCGCTTGTTGCAAAAGTTGGTGCCGAAGGAATCTTACTTTTCTTCTCGGTGTTACTCATGTTTTTATCTGAAATCAATTTATCACGTACAAAATGGAATTCGCGTTAATATAATACACGTAAATCAATACTCGATATTCGTCCATATAAGGCATACATTTTTCTAAGTTCACCAAAAGATTGAAAAACTTCTTGTTGTTTTGACAGCTGTTTTGATTTTAAAAACACTGTCAAAACACGAATGCACTAAACCATAGACTATGCATTATAAACTGTCATAAAAACGTTATTCTGTTATTAATAGTAGTTTTAAAATAGGACAACCAACCATAGATGGGATCCTTTTGGAATCTTACTTCCATGGAAACCAATAAACAACGTCTTGTTTTACACTCATCGTTATTTAAGTATTCTTTAGACAATGACTAAAACCAATTGAAATCATAAGACCACTTGTTAACATGTTAAATCATATACTTATTCAAAAAATAATTGTAGAATATACAATTCAGGATATAAAAGAATTTTAATATTCTACTTTATTTACTGTAAATTCAAAACAATATTTAGATTCTTCAATTCACTTTCTTCCATATTTTTGGTCACTCTTATCATTAACTTTAATGTACACAGAATACCGAATAACAATTCACTTCACTTCATTTCGTCATTTTTAAAGTCCGAATTCACCAGTCATAAGAACAGAATCCGTTTAGTGATACACTAACTTATACCTAAGTTCTGATGTCAATTTAGCGTGAAAGTAACAAGGTGGCCGGTGAATAATTTCAGGGGACACAGAAGATCACGAAATCCTTATTTTTTTGTGATTTGGCTTATAGTCGTAAAAAGATAATAAGGTAACTCAAGAAAAGCTAGAGATTTTGTTTCAAAAATTAACAGTAATTAAGAAAGAATGGTATACTAGATCTGCTCCCTACCAAGACATAAAATGTAGAAGAAGTTATTAAAATGCCGGAATATGTTTACAAAGTTGTTAAATAAAAATAAAATAATTACAGTAGATAGTTTCATTCTTAATCATTTGTTTTTTTATATATTTATAAAAAATGCACCAACATTACTTTTACTGCATTATTTGTTATTTTGAATACCTACAATATCTACTATGTCTAATCTTCAACTTGGAGAGCGGCATCTATATTTAGTTGAAGATAACACATTGCCTTATGATAAAAAAACGTATCACTTTTTATAGATGGCGCATCTCTCGATCCGTTTCTCAATCTAAAGAAGTTTCATATCCTTTCCCTAATAATTTACACGTTGGAAGTGTATGAATCCTATATAATATATTTCAACAATTTTTAAACCATATTAGACGAATTACAATCGATCTCCAAGATGAAAGCCATTCATATTGATTTATAATAGACAGTTGAATCCCTACTTTAACTACTAAATAGATTCAATAAAAATAATAATAAATCTGTGCAATATGAATCTGTCACTGAAATGTAATGTCATTCATGTCATCAGTCATCACTTGGTTCGGTAAAGTTATCTCTGTTTTTGCAATTGATTTAAAGTCGCGTTAATAAGTTTTACCGTTGTTGCTGAATCTCCTCAAATCAGTAAACCATGTCGGCGGAGACCGATGCACCGTTCAACAACGTGGAAATAAGTAACGAGAACCGGGAAGAGGAAGATCTATTCGCCTCGGCGGTACAGGTATCTTAAAGGAATATGTTTTAATTACGATCGCATCCGTCCGGCGTACATCAGGGGCGTCAACGTCCCTGAATTACGCCCCTTTCTGTTCCTTTGTACATTACAAATTGTGTATCCATCGATATAATTGCTATCTATAATTACATGAAATCGAAATTCTTATCCGATAATTGGATTATTACAAGCAACACGTACTTTGTTTATCTATTTGTGTTCAAACTTGTTTGTCTAGATCATCTTGAAGATGCATTTTTAGTATTATCAATGCAGTTCAACATACTAATTAAATACTGGTATTGTTTAAAAGTTATAATAAGTTATTTGATGAAGTATATGTATTAAATAATATGGAGTTTAAATAGTTGTAAGAAGTTTTTTTTTGTCATTAATTATCTTTGATATTTTTATTGTAGGAGGTCAGTCTAGATCCTGAAATTAATGGTACTCAAGATGGATTAGAAAAGTCTACAATAGATGATATTTCGGTTTCATCACCCGCTACTATTGGCAGTTCTATTATGGAAGAAGTAATAACATCTGTTTACTGTATCTCATTATATTTATTATATATTATAAATATACTATTACTCATGCTAGTGGATAAGTCACTAAAAAGGATTTATTTCAAGCAATATTAGATAAATATATTTTTTTAAATATAGGACACTGTTTTATGAACTGTATAAATTAATTATTTGTTCTTAAGTGATGAGTAATTTTGTTGCTCCACCTCTTTTTATAATACAAATATATTTTGGTTTAAATAACATATATTATAATGTGTATAAATATATATTTGACTATTTTAGCTTTAATTACACAGATTGCTGTTTTTAGATAACACATATTAACAGTTGTTAATTCTCCTAATTTTAACAATGTAAGACAAAACTCTAATCTTTTTAATTAGGATATTCTATCAGATTCTTTGATACAAAATGATATCAAAATTCATTACTTTTGTTTTACTAAACAAACTATAATACTTTTCCATATTGTATAATAATAATTGTTTACAGATAGCCACAGAACGTTCTAACAATATTATAATAACAATAACTGAGCCTCAAAAGATTGGTGAAGGGATGAGCTCATATGTAGCCTACCGCGTCATCACAAAAACAAACATGCCGATCTTTAGCAAATTAGATTTTGCTGTTCTAAGGAGATTCTCCGATTTTCTAGGACTTCATGAGAAATTGACTGAGAAATACTTGCGATCTGGTAGAATTATACCTCCCGCTCCAGAGAAAAGTATCATGGGTATGTAATTCATGGAATTCATATAATTATGTTTTTTACATTAAAACAATGCTATTACAGTTATAATACTACTGTTCTATGTGATTGTTAATATAAAATTCTTATTTAATGACTCAAGCCAAGCTCAATCTCTTAAAGCAAATGCAACACAATTTTCTAGAAGTTGCACATGCATATCTTGCTTCAATCAATATTTTTTCATTCTATATCTTCTATTTTAATTTTGATTCAAGTTAATAAAATAAAAATGAAATTGTAAGCAATTTATAAATTCTATTAAAACATTACTTTTTTTCATCTCCCTTAAATTGCAGGATCATTTTACTAATAATTTACTTGCAAAGTATAATATAAACTTCCCAAAAAATAAACAAAAATGAATAATAAAAGTTGCTTGTAAATAACTATTATACTTATAAATTTCAAGGAACAACAAAATTGAAGATGTCATCCACTCCGTCTACCGAGAGTGCTAATGGCTCCCCGTCGGTACAATCACAGTTTGTAGAACGAAGACGAGCTGCCCTGGAGAGGTTCCTGAACAGAGTAGCTCAACATCCTGTACTGTGTATTGATCCTGATTTCAGAGAGTTTTTGGAGTCTGGTAATATGTTAATGATTTAAATATGTATTTGCTAAAAAAAAAAATAACTTATATTTAGCAATTGCAACAGCATATGTATATATAAATTCACTATCATTAATTTAGAACAAAGTTTTTCTGTGTTACCACTATAAATAAATAAATTTTGACAACTTTGTCCATTACAACTTTAATAAAAAAATGTTTAATATAATGCAATTAGAAGTTACATTCACTGAATAAAATTCACATGAATGTTGTTAAGAGATTTTAAAGCAGGAATTAATTAATATTTGTTTGTGACCATTAAATTTTTAATATACAGATACTGAACTACCAAAGGCCACAAGTACATCAGCATTAAGTGGAGCCGGCATGCTGCGACTCTTCAATAAAGTTGGGGAAACAGTTAACAAGATCACATACAGAATGGATGAGTCAGATCCTGTGAGTAAGATAAGTTTCAAACTATTTAAGCTTTAAGTTACATGTACATATATACAGGGTGTATAAATTCTCTTTAATTCAATAACTGTTTGAATTTGAATGGTTCAATTCTATTCATATTGTTCTCTAAACTAAAGGTATATAAGGAATGATCATAAAAAATATTTTTTTAAATGAATAAGTGTGTATAACTTTAGCTTATCCCTACTAATATTATAAATGCGAAAGTAACTCTATCTGTTACGATATCACGCCTAAACCACCACCTGATTTTAATGAAATTTGGTACAGAGATAGAGTTGACCTTGAAAAGAACAGGATAGTTTTATCCCAGACTTTTGGAAAGTTCTCTTGGAAACGTTATACAGGGTGACTGGTGAATTACTATCAATATTTAATGAGCATACTCGGTACATGATTCTCATTCGAATTATATAAAAAAAATAGGTACTTAATTTTTGACCAAATTTCCGTATAAATAAATAAAGTGGAGACACATTCCAAGTGTTCCAAGTGTGGACGCGTGCGGCGGCGTGCTGATACAACACCACGCCTTAACACGCGTATGTGTGAGTGTGTGTGTGTATACCTAATCTGTAGGGTGTTCACACGATGCGTAATTAATTACACAACTTTTGGTTAACTTTACTTAGAAGTTTATTAATATTTATGTTATATTAATTTTTATTTTGTCATATATGATCGTCAAATATCACGTCCTCAAGTATCGATAGTAATTCACCAGTCACCCTGTATAACCGAGCTCCACGAAGGTTAAGCTGCGGGCGGAAAGTTATTCCTATATAATAATGTATTACAGTGGTTCGAGGAGCGCGTAGCTCGTATTGAGTCTTTGGAGAGCGGTCTTCGTCGTCTGTGTGGTGCTTGTGAGGCGCTTGCTACTGAGAGGCGCGAGCTGGCGGGGCGAGCTCATGAGGCGGCAAGAGCCATCGCAGCAGCCGCCGCCGCTGACCCGCACGCACCACTATCGCGAGCTCTCTCACACCTATCTGATCTACATGAGAAAGTAAGAGACAGAACTATTATGTAGGAAGTAAGAGACAGAACTATTATATAGGAAGTATAGTCTGTTAGACTTAAGCTGAGCTTTGCATTTTTGTGAGTGAAAGTAAAAGTAGAGTTAGACAAAAAACTTTTAGAATTCAATTTTATTATGTTTTAAATAGATACATAACATAAGTGCTATCAAATAAGCGAAACTTGTAAAAGGCCAGACGGAAAAAACTATTCAAATTCTTATTCACTTGACATTGCGTTTTCAACATTTGATTTTGCTACCAGTACAAAGGGTGAAGTAAGGAAGGTGCGGGGCGGAGTAAAAGCAGAATAAACTTGTTCAAAACTAGAAAAGAACGTGGTATTCAAAAATTTGTCATCACACCTACACTATCCGTGTACACTCACACAAATACAAAGCTCAGCTTAAATCAAACACACTATACAATAGTTAAAAACTCATAGACAAAAATAGCTCTTATAGTCTTTTATGTAGGTACAATATCTTAATTCTTGAGAACATTTCCAACCAAAAACATATTTTTCACTTTCTTTGTATATTCATAAGCTACATACATTAGCTTGTAACACGTCTTTGATAATAATTTATGTTTATGTATGTAATTTCTATTTTCAGATAGAACATTTAAGGAATGAACAAGCCAATACAGACTTCTATGTTCTAACCGAACACATTAAAGATTATCTTGGATTAATTGGAGCTATCAAAGATGTGTTCCATGAAAGAGTTAAGGTAAAAAACAAAAAAAAATATTTACATTGGACTATAACTACCAATTTAATGTATAAATTTAGTGCACCTGTTAATAAAACAAATTAAATTCATCTCATTGAATCGTAATAAAATCTTTTGAATGTTATATTCATAGGTGTTTCAACATTGGCAACATTCACAAATGCAGTTAACGAAGCGAAGGGAAAACAAAGCAAAAGCGGAATTAGCAAACCGTCCGGAGAAAATTGAACAGGCGGCTAATGAAATTATTGAGGTGATTTAAACTTGTTTTACTTTAGTGTTGCCAGTTATTTAATGATTGGTGTCATCCTACTGAAATTGCAATATCGCATGGCCAATTCTGCATTATTAAAATTTAAACCACTACTTACAAGGATCGTAACGGTCAAATGATATCAGCAATATTTATGTTACACAAACTTTATAAAGACTAGTTTGCTTACATTTTAGTCTCAAAAATGCACACAAAACATTTTTAACACTACAGACTTCTTCTTCTACTTCTTCTACCTGGCAGTTTCCCAGCTATAGCCAGGGTCTGCCTTACATGTTGTGAATAGTTTTGGCTATTTGTTTTTATGAAATCAACCCTCTTTTGGGAATCAACATTAATCAGTGATGTCTAAAATATAGTCTTAAAAAGTACATATGACTCGGAAAAATCACATTGGTACTTGCCGGGCCAGGATCGAACCCGCGCCCTTGGCAACGAGAGGCGGGCCCTTTAACCACTAGGAAACCACTGACCCTAACACTACAGATTATTAGTATAATATTTCTCTGTGTTAGTTAGCAAATGAAATACATAATTGCTTAATAACATTTATTCTCATTCTCATATCTCAATTGATAGTAAACATCTTCAAATAATAAATTATCTTTATTTCCATATGCCAGTGGGAGTCTAAAGTGGAACGTGGGCAACAGGAGTTTGATACAATGTCGAGGGTTATCAAGAAGGAACTGGAACGCTTTGAAGAGATCCGCCTCGACCAACTAAGAGACACGCTGCTGCGGTATCTTGACGAACATATGAAACACCAGGCACAGGTCAATATACTATAGTATGTATGTGTGTGTGTGTGTGTGTGAGAGAGAGAGAGAGAGAGAGTACATACATGCAAGTGTGTCTGTGTGTGTTACTTTTTGAGTTGTATGTGTATACGCGTCCGTATATATGTATATCTTAATATGTGTGCAAGTTACTAAGATTCTATTTACTAATTGTAGGGTGTATGGGTGTGTATATTACTTTTTGTTATATTTGTATATGCGTCCGTATATATGTCTATCTTTATATATGTATATGTGCGAGTTACTGAAATTCTATTTACTAATAGTAGGGCGAATGTGTGTGTGTACATACATGCAGGTGTATGTCTGCGTGTATAACTTTTTATGTTATATGTGTATATTCGTGCATATATATTTTATGTGTGCGAGTTACTAAGATTCAATATACTAAAGTTAGAGACCCAAAGAACGTTCGCTTTTCCTTCTATCCAATTAATGGTGTTTATTTCCAATCTCAATATTTTTAAATATCAAATAGGTTTCACCTAAAGGTAACTAAGAAAGATGCTAGCCATTTCCATAATGAAACCATATGTTTGATAAGATTTAAGTAATTTTTTTCACTAATTTCTCGTCAGTATAAGTGAGTCAGATAAATATTTATGAGATGTACATTTTATTTTTACAGGCTATTCGGTACTGGGATGCTTTCCTTCCCGAAGCCCGCGCCATCAAATGAGTGATTCTAAAGGTGAATAAATAGCGAACGCCAAACAAGATACCCTTTGAATTGTATTAAAAATACACCCATAGTTACAATAAAACACACTTATTGACCACATTACAATACTTTATCAAAAATATTTTTATCACTAAACAATAATTATTAATTTAATTGTATTATCATAATAATCAGCTAAGAGGGATATAACCGGTTATTTTTAAACATATTATGTATGTATTTACTGGGTGATAAATGGATAATTGTAACATTTTTATCCTTTCACCATTCTAAGAAAATATATTTTATAATAATTAAGTTTACTTCAATGATGTATTATTTTGAAATTATTGCATTTGTTTTGAAATTATATGTATATGTAAATAAGGTGTCAAAAATATGATTATCCAATGAGGGGGCACACTGAGTAAATAATGAAGTATAATATATATAAGTGTAATCTAGATAGCACCAAGGAATCTTAATATATTGGTAAGTGATAAATTAATACCGTGTCTTTCCTCCTGTAAAGTACTTCTAAAGGCTGGCTGTGTAATAGAGAAGTAACTCATTAAAATTATTTTATATTTCATCCGATTAAAACCTTTTTTGTCATAATCATTTTTTGTTTCATAAACTTTCAAGCCTCGGTTTTACAAGTAAGGTGGAGGTTTTATATGAGGTACTATTTACTATTTAGTTACTTGTCTTTAGACTATGGACTTTAGTTCTGCCAGCTTTATGTATCACAGATTAAATAAATGGCTATTGATTTTTGTTCTAATTTAGTCATAATAATATTTTTTTTAGGATATAGATTTTATTATGTAGTTTTATGTTATGTATACGCCTTTTCAGAGAAACCCTCACATAATACATATGCTAAGTTTCTAGGAAGCTACTGATAATACGCATTTTAATATGTGATTTGTATGGATTTAAATTCGTTCATCTATTTTATTTTATTTCATAACTTTTAATAATGTCCCTGCCAAAAATATATATATACGGGTTTAAATCCATACAAAATACTTCTTCATATTTTTTATATTGTCACGTTATTCTTATTGTCACTGAATATGCACAATTTTTTTCAAACATGACTAATAATATTTTGCAAGCAAAACACTACCCACGATATTGGGAAGGCGAGGTAACTAAAGTAATTTTCTTACTTTATGTATGAATAGGATATATTTATAGTCGTTTTTATTTTAAAAGTATTTCGTTTTATTCTATGTGTTAGGAATGTAATCTGTTAGATAATAAAAAGTTTCATATTAAATTTAAATTCATTGTATTATCTGTGCTACAGTTTTAAACATACAGCCAATTTAAAAAAAATCTTTAATGGTCAACATTGTACTATAACTTTTCACCTCAAATAAATATTCCGTTTAAAATGTTAGTAAATATTATTTACATTAGTTAGTTAAAATGTCGAATCTAATGTATTCATTATTTTTTATATTGCCAAATATATATAGTGGTAATTTGGTGTAACAGAGAGCTAATTCTAAATAAATATAAAATAAATATGTTGATTTCGAATTATAGAAATTGTACTTTATTCCAATTATAAATATTATGTAAATTTATAAGATGTTTTATTCACTAATCAAATGACGTCACCTAGAGAGGCCCATCTTAACAATCAACTTCACTTATTGCCTATCAGTAAATACCCAAGTAGATAGTAAGGAATTACGAGCTTGGTTATTTTTAGCCATATTTCTAAATGACGATCCCGACTTGATCTGCCCCAAAGACTACAAACTTCTTTTAAATGAAACTAATATTTTCGGATTTTTACTTCGCGTTTTTATTTTTGATTATGAACTACATACTCCCTACGTTTCGGCTATTTTTTACGACGAGATGTGATCAGACTCACACAAATCCGAAAATATTAGTTTTATTTAAATGAGTACTCGCGAAAATCTTAGATCTCATTACTACAAACTTCTTTTCTCAAACTTATCGGTCGAAACCTGGTGTGAAAATCTTTTTTTTCCTTACGGGATACCGGTTACATATCCATGCAGAGGCGGTTACAACAAACATTATGCAGTAACTTTTTAAAATACCTTTTTGATAAAAAAAAACTGTTTTAACTTACAGGGAACACTAAAAGTCGACCAATCGAACTCAGTCTGGTGTTTTCAGAGATCTGTCGGTTTATTATCTATGACTTTACATTAATAACTAGTAAATGTACCTTCGCATTTCTTCTTCCTTCTTTGTAATAAAAATTTCACTATTTTATATTATTATTTTTATGTAGTACTTAGTTGTTCATTGCGTTAAAGTGATACAAGTCAGAAATAAATCAGGGGAAAAGTATAAAAATACGATGTTTTCTGTTTATCTCTGCCAGTCCGATGCCAAAGATCTATTTCATTCTGAATATTTAGAAACGTGCTTCATGTAAAAAAATAAGTAACGGAAGAGCAAAAAGATTCCTAACGTCTATCCAACTGAAGATCAGCTTAAAGCCATCCTTGCCATTCCATCTTATTCGTACCCATTATTTCTATTATTCAAGTCCATAGAACAAAAACATCTTAAAGATATCTACCGACTATATCAACCATAACTATTTATGTGTCAATAAAAACATTTACTTGCAGGATCAATCATTTTATGTCCCCAACACTGAAATTCAATAGAATAATTTCCATTTAGCTAAATGAGAACATTAATATCTCTTTCATAAGAAGCTTTAAAACATATTCCTCTTTTCATAGAATTCATTATAATATATTTCATTTAGAAAGCCTTGACCATATTAAAACTGCTGAAGATTTACAATTTTTATTTTAAACTATAACTACAACCCTATTTACACGCGTTACCACAACTGAGAGATTCACTCGAATTTAAATACATTTTTTAATACAAATACAGCAAACCCTTTAATAGAAATTGAAAGATAACTGTAAACCTTTAGTCCAATGAATATTGGGTTGTCAAATCATCGGATGATTGACCTGAGTAGTCAGCATCATAGCGTTCCACTCGATTCCTTCATCTGATTCGTAATACCTACTAGTGCTTTTAAGTAAACAGCTTCATTAGAATAGATAGATAGATATACCTACAGATGGTTATTAGTTTCGAGTTAATGTTACCTCCTATAGGAGTGGTAGTAGATTAGAAAAATAAGTCCCATAAAGAGAAACCTACCCTATGCTACTCTTGCAAAACGATGATTGTTTGATTCTCTTTTCGTATTTTTTAATGAGGACAACTATGATCAATCAAAATTCAAGACTCTTCATTATTAGGAGGTCTAGGATATTGAATGAAGAGGGTGTACAAATTATTTAAATATACTACTTATAACTCAATAAAGGCAGTACCGATTTGACTGAAAATTAGTTAGGAGGTAGCTTAGACCCAGGAGACAGATATAGGATACTTTTCATCACATTCGACCTTCTTCTTGTGTGACGTCATACACGTGACAAGAAAGGTCAAAGAGAGTACAAGACACTGTAAAAACTCATCTAGCTCTGTCTGAGTCTATTTACGACGTTCACATAGACAAAGTCATGTTAAAAACTAGTGTTAATTTATATTCATATACATCATGCACTTGTGGAACTTATGAACTTAATAGGATAATTAAATCGCTTTATCAGCGACCGTTTCCTATAATCACTTAACAAACAAATGAATCATTTTCTTATAATCATAAAATAAATCATTGCGAAAAACCTAACCAACACTTGCATTACACTCATCTCAATGACCGATTTACCGACGGTTCTTAAAGTAACAGATTTTATCAGAAATAGTTAATTACTTACCGTTTATTAAACAAATATGAAAGTTTTCCATCAAATGTTTCAATAAATATAGCGCTTTTTATTTAAACTCTCATCTACAGCACTAATACCTACCGCTAAATAAAATATCAACTTTTATGTGAAAATATTTAAGATCATGAATCCTAGATTAATACAAAACAACGACACTAAAAACTGGTTAACAAAAATTGTAGGAATTTTTACTAAAATGTTTAATAATATAATAAGTAGTTTATAATATTTAATACTAGCTTTCTGCCCGCAGCTTCGCCCGCGTGGAGTTCGGTTATATCGCGTTTCCGAGAGAACCTTTCAAAAGTCTGGGATAAAAACTATCTAGGTATATGTTCTTTCTCAAGGTCAACTCTATCTCTCTACCAAATTTCATTAAAATCAGTTCAGTGGTTTTGGCGTGAAGTGGTAACAGAAAGACAGAGTTAATTTCGCATTTATAATATTAGTAGTTATAAGTATTTTTCGGATAAATTTGTATATATATAAATAATACTTTATCTGTTAGTATGTCATGAAATAAAACCGCTTTTTCTCGTAGGTAAATAAAATTGCAGTAGACGAAGAATCTTTCAAAAAAGTTTCATTTCAAGTATTAAACATATTATAGATAATAATTAAAATTTTACAAATAAATTTATTTACCTTATACTTCCAAAGGGCGCTTAATATTTTCTTAACTACTCTTCTTAAAAAAACTTTGTTTGTAACTTCGAGACATAATATTGTACATTTGTAAAATAATTAAATCACGGAGTTAAATCTTAAAAATTAAAACTATAGTTTTATTATACAAAACTTGATTTATATGTAATTCTATTTAACAGGAATCAGATATTTCATATAGTATGGCTTATACCTCCTAACATGGACCATACTATTAAGAAAAGGCCCCTCGTTCCCGGTAGTCCCGCTGTCCGTTGTCACGGTAGCGGCCGCGGTAACGGCGGGACAGGGGGTGCGAAGAATCTCCGGGTTACGGGAAAAGGCTACCAAAACCAACTGACCCTGGCTACGTACAATGGACGCTCTCTACGGCTGGACCAACACCTCACCGAACTGGAAGTAGAACTAGGTCGCATAAACTGGCACATATTGGGGTTATCTGAAGTCCGAAGAAAGGGGGAGGATACGATAACCCTTGAGTCAGGCCACCAGTTCTACTTCCGGGAAGGTGATCGGGCCTCTCAGGGCGGTGTGGGTTTTCTCGTTAATAAAGTTCTCACTAACAACATTGTGGAGGTCAACAGTGTGTCGACAAGGGTAGCGTACCTCATACTTAAAATCACCGACAGGCATTTCCTGAAGGTGGTACAGGTATATGCGCCGACTTCGACATATTGTGACGACGTTGCCGAAGCCATGTACGAAGACATAGCTAAGGCATTACATGGTACAACCAAGGCTCACTACAATGTTGTTATGGGGGATTTTAATGCTAAAGTGGGAGTACAGGAACACGGCGAAACGAAAATCGGATCCCATGGCGTAGGGTGCCGAAATCACAGGGGGCAGATGCTGGTCAACTTTCTGGAGTCACAAGGGCTCTTCTTAATGAACTCATTCTTTAAGAAGAAGCCCCATAGAAAGTGGACCTGGCAAAGCCCCGATACTGCGACGAGGAACGAGATTGACTTCATTATGACAGACAAGAGGTACATATTTAGAGACGTCTCAGTGATCAATAGGTTTAATACCGGAAGCGATCACCGACTTGTCCGAGGCACTCTGAATATGAACTTCAAAGCCGAAAGGCGTCGCATGATGAAGTCTACACTCCGACCTACTGCGCCTCAAATGGCAATGGGATCCGAAAAGTTCCAATTGGAGCTTCGAAATCGTTTCGCACTACTGGAAACCCTTAGCAATGTTGACGAGAAGACCGACACAGTGGTCAAAACGCTTCAGGAGGTATCTCGAACGGTGTTTCCCGGAAAAAGCGTAAAAGGGCATACTAAACTCTCACTCGAGACCCTCGAACTAATGAGGCAGAGACGAGAAATGTCATCAACGCAATCGTCTTCGTCGGATGGGAGAAACCTCAATAGGAAGATCCGGAAGCTGGTGCGACGTGACCTCCGTTGCTTCAATACCCGCATGATTGCGGATGCTATTGAGCAAAACAGAGGCACCAAAGTTTTCGCTCGCCAGCTTGGTAGAACTCATCTGACGAAACTTAACACTGCGGATGGCAAAACCGTCACCTCTAAGTTCGAGATTCTAGAGGAAATTGAGAGTTTCTACAAACGCCTTTACGCATCACGGATGACCAAACCAACGAGATCCAGCGATTTTGACCACAGAGCCCCACTCACGCGCCATTACACCGAAGACATCCCTGATGTCGACCAGGGCGAGGTTCGAGTTGCTCTTGAGCAACTTATGAACAACAAGTGCCCAGGGGATGACGGAATCACGACAGAGCTCCTAAAAGCGGGCGGGACACCGGTCCTAAATGAGCTAGCGAGTCTCTTTAATTCCGTCATCCACCAGGGCTTAACACCTCGGGCGTGGAGCGGGAGTGCGGTGGTTCTGTTCTTCAAAAAAGGTGACAAAACCTTGCTGAAGAATTATAGACCCATCTCACTCCTGAGCCACATCTACAAGCTGTTCTCGAGAGTACTCACAAACCGCCTCGCCAGAAAACTCGACGAGTTCCAGCCACCCGAACAAGCCGGGTTTCGAAAAGGCTACAGCACTGTAGACCACATCCATACTGTTCGGCAGATTGTGCAGAAGACCGAGGAGTACAATCAGCCGCTGTGTATGGCTTTTGTGGACTACGAAAAAGCCTTCGACTCCATCGAAACCTGGGCAGTTCTAGATGCTCTGCAGCGGTGTCGCGTCGATTGGCGCTATATCGAGGTGTTGAGATGTCTTTATGAAACCGCTACCATGACCGTCCAGCTCCAGGACCTAAAGACCAAACCAATCGAGTTGCGCCGAGGGGTAAGGCAGGGGGATGTAATATCCCCCAAGCTCTTTACCAACGCGCTCGAGGACGTCTTCAAGACGTTGGACTGGACTGGACGGGGCATTAACATAAATGGCGAGTACATCTCACACCTTCGGTTTGCCGATGATATCGTCATCGTTGCGGAGTCACTGGAACAGCTGAGCGAAATGCTGCACAGCCTAGATGGAGCCTCACGACGCGTTGGTCTCGGCATGAACTTGGATAAAACCAAGATTATGTTCAACGAACATGTCGTGCCGAGACCGGTTTATGTCGACGGATCGGTTCTCGAAGTTGTTCAAGAGTATACCTACCTTGGACAAGTTATCCAGCTTGGTAAAAACAACTTCGAGAAGGAAATCGATCGCAGGATTCAGCTAGGTTGGGCAGCGTTTGGCAAATTACGTCGGGTTTTCTCCTCGCCTCTACCGCAATGCCTGAAGACCAAAGTCTTCGACCAATGCGTCCTACCGGTTATGACCTACGGGGCTGAAACGTGGACACTCACTGTAGGACTAGTCCACAAACTCAAAGTCGCTCAGCGGGCTATGGAACGAGCTATGCTCGGCGTTTCTTTGAAGGACAAACTTCGAAACGAAGAAATCCGACGAAGAACTAAGGTTACCGACATAGCTCGTAGAATAAGCCAGCTGAAGTGGCAGTGGGCTGGTCACATCTGCAGAAGGACCGACGCACGGTGGAGCAAGCGTGTCCTTGAGTGGAGACCGCGTCTCGGCAAACGTAGAGTAGGACGCCCCCCAGCTAGGTGGACCGATGACCTGAAAAAGGTCGCTGGGTCTCACTGGATGCGGAAGGCAGAGGACCGAATGTTATGGCGCGTGTTGGGAGAGGCCTATGTCCAGCAGTGGACTGCTATAGGCTGAGTGTGTGTGTGAGATATTTCAAAACCTAAATAACCGTCTTTTAACGGAATAATGTTGGTTAAAGACTGATATTAAAACCTCTCATATATTTTGCTGCTCAACTCAAATTGCATTTATTTGAATACAAACATAAGTCAATTAAAAAGTTGCTTTAATTTCATCTCCACATATTGTTTTGTATACCTAAAACAAAATCAGAAAAGAACAATGGATTATTTTTATAAGCGTCCGATTCACGATTAAAAGAGTCATGTCAGTTTGATATATAATTCACAAATCATATCAGAGCCGAATTTCCGCAGAACCACGAACGTATCTGGTAATTAAATTAGTAATTTTTAAATAAATTAGGACTACACAATTAATAACTCAGTCCTTACCACTTTCGCAAGGGTTTATCAAGACGCTATTAAGTGGGTAAACCCTTTCTACATTCCGTCATCGTTTTGGTACACAGATAAAACACTTAACACTCATAATATATATATCAACAGTCCGTAGTTATTTTATTACATTTCATTAATAGTTCGGATCCATAACTTACTCAGGTGAGTGATTCTAATTTAGACTATTTTTTTTATAACCTAACGAATAAGAAGGATTGTTTTTCAACAATGTTTAGTTTCAGTTATACAATTTCAACAGTACTTGAAGTTTTTGTTAATTTTTTCTACGTAGATCTAATATGTTGATTTTAAAATTAATTCTATTTATCATACAAAGAACTACTTCTTTCTTACAGACAAAATGAAATTACTGATTGCCCTCTCGTGCTTAGCCGTCGCCTTTGCACTTCCGTCCTCGCCTAACTTTGGATACCGGAATAATGAAAGGAATAAAATAAATGAACTCGATTTATCCCACGAAGACCTAAAAAGTAACGATTTAATTAAAGCATACGAGCAATTAATCGGGAACATAGGCCGTCTCTCACGTGCGGACGAAGAAGAAGACATTGTTAATAATATTGTTGAAGCAATTATCGCTATAGGACAAATAATAAGAGATACTGCAGCAGGTGAGAACAGACCTCCTAGACCACACCGACCAGGAAAAGAAGAAGGTAGTAATATCCACAATATAACACGACCCGCTGCTAATGCCACTGAAAGACCTGATCATATTAATATCCATAACGTAACTCGTCCTGCTGCAAATGCCACTGAAAGGCCTGATGATATTAATATCCATAACGTAACTCGCCCTGCTGCAAATGCCACTGAAAGGCCTGATGATATTAATATCAATAACGTAACTCGCCCTGCTGCGAATGCCACTGAAAGACCTACTGGAAGGCCCACTGGAAGGCCTACTGGAAGGCCTACTGGAAGGCCTACTGGGAGACCTACAGAAACACCGGCTGCAGAAGAAATTAGCACAAGTAGTCCAGAGACAACTACTGAAATTCCATCTAGCCCTGAATATATAAGTTCTGGCAGCAATGAAATAAATGAAGATTCTTTGGATGATGAAAGAGAAGAAGAAACATATTTTATTAATGAACCCATTATTGAGAGACGATACAGATTTCCATCAGTCTATGAAATGAATGAGAACCTTCCATACATTGCAAACAACATATAATTTGTTAGTTAAATCCCCCCCCCCCCCCCCCCCCTACAGAACCTAAGAAAATTAATTTATAAAAGCTTTAAAAAATTATGTATCAAATTAAATTTTTTATATGAAATAAATCAATCAAATTAAAACTTGTGTTTAATTTTTTTTTTTTTTAATCTAATTTTTTGTTACATGTCTAGTTGTTTTTAAGAATTCCGAAAAAGATTATTTTCTCTCCAAACATGTAAGGATAGCTTATTACACATAATTTGGAAATTTAATTTACCAAGTGAACTGAACAACTACATTTTTATTTAGGTTTTTATAAAGAAATTTTAAATCAACTTTAGTAATTTTAAGTCAACTTTAGTAGATAACAATATATAAAGAGAACAGTATTTTTCATGGAATATCTATTTAAATTAAACACAAAAGTTACTTTTATAACATTATATTATCTAGATTCTAGAAGAACTATACTTAAATATTTGAATAACAATTTCATTATTTATAAACATAATCTTTTGGATAGTCCATAACCTTGGGGAACTTTCTGACTTCATCCTCCGGTATATGGTCAAGTCTCGTTGGCACTAAACGTAATTGACGAATTTGATTTGTCACATTCTGTAATACATCCTCTGGAACTTCCTCATCTGGATAAATGAGAAGCCGTTCCATTGTGTGGCGTCGTTGGAGATTGCCCTTCATTGATCTGTATACAGCTTTTTTGATTATCTATAAATTAGCAATGCCTGTGTTAAAAACTAACATTCGAAAATAAATGTATTATAAAAGGTAAAAACAATATACCATAGTGGGATCTTTATTATGCACTTCCCAGGCTAAAGTCCACGAAGCTCCACCTGGATAACCAGTGTGATGAAAGTAGGCTCTTTTCTTCCATTCATCTCCTCGCAATGCGATGTCTCGACTATTTATACAAACTACAACATCTCCGCAATCATTCATAGGATGGTAAATAGGCTTATGCATTCCCATTAAATATTTCTTTATAAGGTCCGCTGATTGATAGGGGTCCTGCCATTTACAATCAAATATATGCCAAGTTCGCGCAAATGTAGCCCATTGCTGAAAAAAACTTAAATTATTAGCACCATTATCCCAGTCGTTACTAATATAAGCATTTAGTTATATCGGTTAAAATATACCTGGACTCTTTTTGCTGCAGACATACTTTATACTTTTATAATTTATACTTAATGTTTACGAAGAACTTAGAAGTACGATCGTAATTTTAACTTCTAGGTTATGTTTGTAAGATTAATTGTCATTTGTCATAGTAGATAACAGTTGTCAAAACTCGGGAATTTGTTACGGCTTTGAGATACATAATAGTCTGAAGACAAAAAAAAATCAAATATTTTATATTCAATTAAATCATATAAAGTCACACTTTTATAACTCTAACTCAAAAAAAGACATTGCTTTTCAAAGGAAAGAGGCAACAGAGGATAACCTTTTTTTATAATTTCTAGGCTCGAACGGCACATACTGTACTAAAATTATAAAAAGCTGTCTGCTTCAAATTCTATTTCTCAAAAATAGCTATAATGTGGAGATTATATTTTTAACCGAAGTTCTGCACCAGACCAATAAGAAAACTTTTTAACAGTATTATTGTGTTTCAAATCTTGGACAATGGTTCTGCTGGTTATATGCCATTCCTTTCACTCCGACCCCATTTCTGAGGTTCCGTACAACACGGTACATTTAAACATATTAGTTATACTCACTAGATGAAAACTAAAAATGTTAAATAATTCGAAGGAATACTAAAGGTTAAAACACCTTTACTAATAAATTAGACTGATGGGTTATTTTTTTTTAAGCGACTTTTACCTAAACGTACGTATATGAAAGAATATACCTTCATATTATTTTTGGCAGCTAGACATTATTATAATTTTTTTTTTTAATTGAAAAGGCTGTCTTGAAAGGAGTCTGAGGTAATTCTTTCGTCACTATATCAGGATCAAACGAAGGACTCCTCAAAAAATCGAACAAAGCCTTATAGCTAAGATAATAGTATCTCCTGGGAAGTTCTATAAGTGGGCAATACCGCAGGCAAAAATTAGCTAAAATTAATGTCCATTGAAATATTTTTAGAGACGAAATCATCCAAAAACCGGTTAAGGGTCTGGTAAACACTAGTATACATCAGCAGGTCTCAGCAACCGCCAATTCTTCTTGTGACGAATTCAAAGCCAAATGGATATCAGAATTACAAGAAACAATTGTGCTTAAATTCCCTCCGCGCAAAAGAAGTGAAACTTCGTAATGTTGGAATGCAAACAGGAAGTGGTAGAAATTGATTTTTAAGACAAACTTTATTAACATTACTTGTTAGTCACAAATGATTGCCCGCATTCGTTCTAGCGTCACACATCCCCTCTCACACGCTCTGTTCCTTTAACACAACCTTGTTGAAAGTCACAAAAGAAGTTTCACTTCAAAAATACAGAAATCTTAGACAGCTAGATGTTAATTGCATTTGGAATATGTACTTATAAAAAATATGATGTGGTCATATCGTTAATTTGTACATATTTTATGCACAGGGCTAAACCGCCCTTGTGGGCGAAATAAGACCAAGACAATAGGGGCTAGCCCCCAAATTTTTTTAGTTGAAGCCAATAAGGGTAGCGAAAACTATTTCAGAGTATTCATTAACTTACAACGCATATTTTGAGGGAATTGTCAAGGATGTTATGAAAATTACTGAAAAATTAGATACCAAACCTGGATTCGAGACTTCTAAATCGAGAACCCTAGGACATCGAATTGTTAATCTAGACGAAAATTGCAGCTCAGATAATTATGTACAAAAATGTTTAATATTTTTGTTCCTAAGCACCGCTTTTGACAAAGAACGATTAAAAAAGTTGAAAGATTTGTAATCGTCATAATATTTATAAATACACAACGTATATTCAATTTAATTTAACAAATACAACTATAATTGTCGGTTCCGATGGGGCCTTTCTCATGTCACTGGCTTTGCGAACTATAATTGACAAACCTATTTTTATATTTTTCTAATCTAATGATAAAACTTACCGTTTCGAGAAACGAGAAAAGCCGTTTTGTGACCTTTGACACCAAGTAACTTTTTCGAAGTATCGTATATGAGAGATTTAATTTATTAATCACAATGAAGTGTTTACTTTTTTATTTAAACTTAATGATGAACAAGAACAAACACTATTAAGAAGTAGCTCATGGCTTGCAGAAAAATTGAAGAGTAAAAAATATTAAGTAAAATTCTATGGGAATTAAAAAAATAAAATCCTAGAGTAACATAATAATAATTCTTTAATAAACTGTATATTTAATATTATATAATATTTCCGTTTAAATATCCAAATTAAAATGCTTATTCACTGAGATGTAAATCTTTTCTTAGTGTGTACGCTGACACATGCATCATTGAAGGTTCATTTTCGAGGAAGTTTTTTATTGCTTGCTCCCTAACATCTTCCCAGGCGTAGAGGTCTCTGTAAATCGGACGAACGTACTTCATCCTTCCTTGATGGTTTACAAAAGCCAGTGCATCATCCACTTTATCTTGATCCTTACTCCTGATACACAATCTCAGCCATCGATATATTATCTCTGTGTTCTTGCTATCATTTATTTTGTATTCTTTGCCTAGATAACGGAGTTTCTCTACTGGTAGTGGTTCTTGATCGATCAAGGATTGTAATAGATTTATTATCTGGTGTGGTGTGAATGACTTGATGTCTTCATAGGAAAATGTAGTGTTGGAACTATTAATCTTAGCGAGTAGATCATTAACAGACTTTGTCATAGATGTGTCATACCTGAAACATTAATAATGAGTGTTAGAAAATAATTTATATACATTAGGTATATATAGGTATGAGTTATATAAAGATATTAGAACTTCATATTTATTGGGTTTCCGAAAAAAATCGCGTTAACTGAAATTCGCGTATATCGAGGTTGATGATTAAACATAGTTGAAATGTAATACAAAAAAAAAGAAATCCTTTTTATCAATCACTTTAATTCTAAGAACACAAATGAATACATACTCTTATTTTTTACGAAAAAATACATATATTGTTTTTTGGGTAACGTTTTGTTTACTTTCTTGTAAAATACGTTCATAGCACCCAACACTGTTTTTAATCGTTTGAGACACGGTCATCATTATTGTACATACTCTATAATATGTCCAACTTGAATCAATTTTTAAATTCGCGTTATAATGAAACCGCGCATAACGGGGTCGTGCTAAGCGGGGTTTTACTGTATGTATATTTTTATATTATTACTATATATAAGAATTTTTACATACTCCGGTATAACTGGTGGCATTCCACTTTTATACAGCCAACTGTCCCAATCCACTTGTCCAAGTTTCTCATTGCCTTTGAAATAGTTTAAGAGGTACGCCTTAAACTGATCTGTGTCCAGAGACTTGCTTTGGAAATGGTTGAGGTAAGATCTCATGAACTCATCAAAAACAGCTGTAAACAATAGTATATATTATATACATTGAAGTTTAAAAGAAAAGTTTTACAAACAGGTATTTTTTTATAAATTTAAAATACTAGGTTTCTAGTTTTTAATGGGTTTACAGAGAGAAAAATGTGTGTTTTAGAAATTTACATGATAACCGAATCTCTAGTTATACAAAATACAACAGCTATGATGTGTTTCAGAATAAATAATAGCACTCATATACTATTTTTAAGTCTCAGTACTATTATAATAAGAATTTATTCAAATCTCTTTAGTAGTGTCTCCATATAAGATCTTTCATACAGATAACACTACAATATATGAGAATAATTTTTCCGTTATACCGGGCCCGCCGAGTAGATCTTCTAGATAGCGTAAAAATAGAGATCCCTTCTCATACGGAACCGTTGAGAAGGCGTCGTCGGGGTGGACGTCGTTCAAGGTCACGACCATTTTCGTCAACGGATTTCCCGAACCAAGTTCATCATTTACCTAATGGATTATAAATCAGATTCATTACCTGCACCACCGACCAAATCTTCGAGGTAGCGTAGGAATAGCGAACCCTTTTCGTACGGAACCCTAGAGAATGAATCATCGGGATGTGTTTGATCTAAATCTGGTACCAGTCTAGTGAGAGGATTCTCAGCTCCCAGATTGCTGTTTATCTAAAATATTTACATTAACACATTCATACGCTACCGAGAGATTTATATTTCAGTTTAGCTAGTAAGAATTAATATATAAAATTTCGCTTAGACACTTTTGCTATGAAGAAAGCAATACATACATGTAAATTTCTGCTAAATAATAGTGAAAAATTAATAATAATGTTAGCATCTTTTTATAAAACATATTTATCAAATGTTACATCACTAAGTTAGAGGGTGCTAGTTTTTATTTTTAGTGAAATATTCTAGTAAATATCAGTAAAATCTTTAAGCATTTTTTTATACTTGATCAATGAATACAAGAATTTCAATGACATACATGACAAAATGAATATCATGTAATATCTAGATGCCTTTTTATAAAAATGAGATAAAAATATTTTAATATAGCAATAATGAAACCCAAATGATATTAAAACTTAATCCACTCACAGTTTCACTGAGCTCTTGTAAGCCTAGTAAGCTATGGAAGTCTCTACTTTTCCTAGATTCCTCCGGGTCAGGTATGAGTGAAGCCGCTACTTTCCTTTCCAAAAACACAGTGAAACCTTCATTAAGCCAGAAGTGCTCAAAGTTTCTGTTGGTGACCAAATTCCCCGTCCAGCTGTGCATTATCTCATGTACTATGACATCCGCCTGGCTTCTGTCACCAGCCTGAAAGTGTGATATTTAATAATTATCATATGTTTATAATAAACTATTACAAAATCTGTGCGCCTAATATTTTTGAAATAAAACTACTTAAGCGACTTCCATCGAAGCATCTATTACTAAGTAAGGAATAAAAACGATAAAACCGCTTTTCCCCACTTTACTTTTTATAAACAATTTTAAATTTATATTATTTTTTTTCTATTTATATTAATTGGTATTTACAAATTAAAGATAAGTCTGTTATAATAACTTAGTTTCAAACAATATTCATAAAAATGTAAATAAACTGTATAATTTTATTTTCCAAGTTATTATTAAACGATAAAATCAATATACATCCAAGAAACGAGTATTAAAAATTAAATGTAGAATGTTATCAATGTACTGAACATTAAAATTGACGTCATATATTGGTAATATAATTGCTTCGCTGCAATAATTATTGATTGTTGTTATTCAATAGCGTTATGACTTAAAATTTTTTGATAAAAGTATCAAATATTTTTGCATTTTCCCCCATTATAATAGTAATACTCTCTAATAATATTCCATAGTAAAGAGAATGTCATATATCGGGTGCTCTCGGTAATCTTCGGTCGCTCGTGCGGCTCTCGAGAACCGCCTCATTACTCGGTACATTTCTATGAACTATCTTTTGTTTCACGCGTCACGCGTCAGGCGTATTAATGCGTATCTCATACAAGATGTATTAGCCGTCCTCGTGCACTCGACGAAGCGCACGATATGAGTTTAGTAAAGCGCTCAAGCTTTTTGATCATAATTAGGAAATTTATTTTTTTATACGTTTTTATATGTTTAAAAAATAAATATTAAAATGGTAATTTAAAAATAAAGATGAAGTAATATTTTGTAATTTTTAAATCTTTTGAATTGGTGGTTCAGCGCACGAGTGCACTTAAGGTACAGCCGCTGCTATTCTAAAATGCTTATAAGGCCTCGGCCTCGAATTTTGCGGGCAGCGGAGCGGGAGCGGGAGCGGCAGGATCTTACGCGTATAATCAAATGGACCGACCCTCGAATACAGCGGTGCCCGCTGCCCGCTATTTTGGAGAAATGTATGCGTTTTCGTGCCGCCGCCGCTGCCGCTCAATATTTTTTGATTCTATTAATTATATTTTAGTTGACCAGAAAAATCTACTACAATAGAATAGATATGAGAATAGAATCTATAAAAGCTACTGGCAATATTATTAAAATTCCAACCAACCTTGGTCCAAGCTTTCTAGATTCCAATACGCCAATGGCCAATGCCAATAAATAGGAAGGTATTGGCACTGGTTGGCTGAAGCTTGTTTTATTGGCATTAGCATTCAACCTGATAGCGCTCATTAATACTGTGAATGGTTCAGGAGCTGTTATTTCAGCTTCATATGTGAATTTAACGGCCGGCGTGTCTTGACAGGGCAGGATTGAACGAGCGTGGATCGGCTATATTCATAAGAAGAAAATAATCAAATATTACTTAAAATATACATAATTATTGGGTTAAATATTATAATTTTGGTGTACTATATATGAAGTTAATATTTAAGAGTTACTTCAATAAAGATCAATTATCAGTTGGTTGTTACATAGATGGAATTGAAAAAAATCTATAAATAATAGAGGAATAAACATTTCAAACAAATAATCTAAAAAATTATGACTTTTCCATAAAATGATTTAAAAAATGACCTCAGCAACAACCCTATTAGCGATACAATTATTTATATTTAAAGAGTAAAGTAATATAAAATAAAATGCATGTGTTTAAGTAAAGTCTGAATAACTCTACATGTTATAGGTTTTACAAAGATATTGCATAAATTCACCATGATATGATAATAATTAGATAACAACAACTACCATATAAAATCAAAATATTACTCTCTTTATATTGAAACCTATGAAATCACTCCTCTTTTTCTTTTGGAAAAGAAAACTGGCATTGATTAAATTTTTTTTATATTATAAAACCTCAAACTTCTTTAATTACCTGACATTGGCTGAATAAGTATGGATGCTTTTTTCCGGATGTCTGATTAGCATCCAACCATTGCAAGGCGGTAGCATTCGGAGAGGTGTTAAACTTAATTTTTATTTGCAACCTGCATGTAAAATATACATCATTATAAGTTAGAGGAGATATTTTCACCACCATGATTTTTTGTTTTACAACACCTTTAAAATCCGTTTTTAAATATCTAGTTTGCAATTAATTGTTGAGGAATCGCTGACTCTAATATCACAATTTATATTAGTTTTAGAGTCAGAGGTACACGACAAAAGACGACAATGTAATAACCCTAGATTTAGTTATTAAGCTAAAAACAAATTATGTACATTATTTTATGGGTGTTAATGAATAAATTATTATTATATTTTTTTTAACTGAAATTTCGTCCACCGGTCGTATTTTTTTATTCATACTTTTATGATTGTCAATAGACAGTTTGATAATGAAAGGTTTGAGAAATATATATTTATATGTACATATGTTTTTACTTCTATTATATATCCTTAACCTTCATCAATTTTGTTTTTTTATTGTCCACTCCTTATGACCGTTAAAGGGTTAACACTGGAAAGTAATCGTAATTTTTAATTATGATTTTTCTATATAACTCACTGTTGCTCCGGAGCGGCCGATTGTGGTAAATCTATTGTCAGCTTTGAACCATAATTAGGCACAGGATCACCTAACACGAATTGTAGTGCTGAACCATCTTTGAGTTCAATAGATTTTATATCTAATTCACTCGTATCTAATATCTGAAATTGTAATAAACATATAAATCATATTACGATGAAAAATAAATACTTTTGTATGATTTAAATATAGAAATATTATCTTTAATTAACATTAATATGTGTTAATATATTTACTATATACATTTATTAGTTTTATGTAAACTTTTTCTTCTAAACAATTTATAGCTAGTTTTTTTGGTTTTTAATTTTTTTTTTTGATTATTAGTATTACTTTTTCTATCCTAATATATAAATAAGATTCATGACATATTTATCATTGAATTTAATGTACAGGAAAATAACATTATGCCAATACTTATGATAAACGAGATTATCAATTTATATTTGCAACATCTTCAAAATGTCACTTGAAATGTTAAGATAATATTTCATAGGAAAATAGATGATTGAGTGAAATTATCAAATATATATAAACTACTTATATAAGAGGGGGCATGAGTGAATAATCTGTTACGGGTTAGGGCTTTAAGGCTCAGTTTCATTGGAATCCATATAATATATATACAGGGTGACTGGTGAATTACTATCAATATTTAAGGAGCATACTCGGTACATGATTCTCATTCGAATTATGTAAAAAAAATAGGTAGTTAATTTTTGACCAAATTTCCGTATAAATAAATAAAGTGTGTACACGTTCCAAGTGTTCCTAGTGTGGACGCGTGCGAAGGCGTGCTGATACAACAACACGCCTCCGCGCGCGTATGTGTGAGTGTGTAGTGTAGAGTAATCTGTAGGGTGTTCACACGATGCGTAATTAATTACATAACTTTTGGTTAACTTTACTTAGAAGTTTATTAATATTTATGTTATATTAATTTTTATTTTGCCATATATGATCGTCACAAATCACGTCCTCAAATATCGATAGTAATTCACCAGTCACCCTGTATAATGAGATAAAGTTTAATAATTTTTACACATACCACATTCTCAATATAATCTAACACCTCAATGGTAAGGACAGCAACACCATTTAGAACTTTTTTATCAAAATCCACATCATACGACAAGTCCACATGCTTGATAATCGCTTGCTCTGTATGAAAAAAAAATAAATATAAAATAAAAAATGTCTGGGTTAACAAAGTATTTTATCATTGTTATTTAATATTTACAGAATCAAATGAAAATGGTTCTAAATTTAAATTCAAATGCATCATTGTTCCAGAATTTAGTTTAAAAAAAAAACATATAATATGCAGGCTTCAATCTTAGAACATTCATCTCACAGCAAAACAGTAAAACCTTTTTTTGCAATATAAAATAAGTTATAATAAAATACCTGGTCTAGAAAATGATGATGGATCCAAGGGACTTAGTGAACCCATAACTTCAAATTGTCTGGAACACAAAACTATAGCTACATACATCCATTTTATAGAAATATACATTTCAACTAAATCACATACAGTATATATTGAGATCAAATGACTATCAAATGACCAACAAGAATGAATAGAATAAGGTTTCTCTTTTATATATAGTACTATAGCTGAACTGAATGACTATGTAAGTTATAAACCTTATGTTCATAGACTTAAGGTCTCTTTTGGCATAAATCTTATGCAGATAAGATCAATACTGTCAAGACAGAAGTGTACATGTAAATCTTTCTATCTGTTATGTATAATGCTGACGGTTTATAATGAATTTATAAAAAAAATTGTTGGAGTAAATTAAATAGATTGATATTCGAAGTTAATATGTATGTCTGGTATGAAGTCTAAACTCGATGTAGAAGTGGTTTGTGTGCCATAATTTACATATTTATAAAGTTTATAAGTAAGTCGTTATATTGGTTTCTTGAATAACACCATACATTTAATTGAAATTTTAAAACCAGTCTTAGTGTATAAATAGTTGTTTTTAATTATAGGCGAGGCCTTTAAAAAATATTGTTAAACAATTGTTAATTCTATTAATTGTCATATTCATGTGTATATTTGTAATATCAGCTCGTCTTTCTGTAATCATTATAATCCACAACACCTCTTAGTACACAAACCTTTTTACTAAACACAAACTTTTCTTTAAAATCCAATAATTACTAAAGTGTTGGTTATTTAATTGAAACTTATTTGTAAATCGCGTCTGTCCTAAAATTGAATAAGCTCTTTGTTTATTTGGTACTAGTGAAAAACGCAACGGCAAACGAATATGCCGCGTGATCAATTTACCGATGACAGACATTTTTCTGCTCTGTCAATAAATTAACAGACTAATTTAACTTTTAATAGCTAGTCATTTTAGAAAAGTCACTATATGCTTGAATATTTTTCTTTTATTGCTAGTAAAGCATAAGTATTTATTACTTGGTTCAAAAATTTTGATGACAGACATTAGTGATTGATAAATGATTAATCAATCACCTACCCATGCCTTCCGATAAGCTTGTGACCTTTAAAATTTCATTAAAAAATAAGATTTTAGATTAATGATAAGATGTTAATATTAATATCAGAAGATATATACTAACTGAATAAAGAAAAAATACTATTTTAAATTAAAATAAAAAATACTTTTTTTAATATACGAATATTTATACAGAAGAAAAAACATCTATTGGCCTCTTTTTACCTGTTTTCCTTCACCTTGTTAACAAATGAGCAATGAGCACGGAGCATTAGTAAAATGACAGATGAGCGATGTCATCTGTATTGTTTGGAACTTTGAAGTGCTACTATTTTTATTTTCATGTATCAAAAATGAAATTCCCATTTAGTTTTATTATAAGTCAATAATATTAGATAGTTATTTTACTGTATTTATTAAAAACTAATTTTTACTATAAGTTATTAGTTGGGATTTGAATAAAATAGGAAAAACATGTTGTCCCGGTTTCACCATTATCATGGTTCAAATATTATTTTATTCGAAGACAATACAGTGGCATACAGAAAAACAAGTTTTGCTCACGGCCTGACGTTTAGCGAGAAGCCTTTATTACCCGGTGAAATATTTTTAGTTGAAATAGAAAAGACGGAACGAGGGTGGAGTGGTCATATGCGCCTCGGTCTAACATTACTTGACCCACAGACTGCCGCGCTAGGTGATAAAGGTTTACCCCAATATGCCCTACCCGATCTCGCTAACACGGGTATGTCATGGATCTTTCCTATATCGAAATCTCAGAACAATGTTATAAGTACTTTCGAGCTCGTAAATCAAGGCTCAGTTCGTCGCGATAACGAGTCCAGGGTATCGGTCCTTGGAAATGGTCACAGCGTCCGAACTCCTAGAGGATTTGTCTCCAAAATGATTCTGAGGCCCCAGAACTTGTCCCAAAAGGGTTCACCACAGGGTATTTTGCCTATGGACGCAGGAAGTCGCATTGGAGTCATGTATGTACCATGCCCAAAAACTAGTAAAGATGAACCCGACTTGGCTGAAATGCATTTCATAATAAATGGTGAAGAACAGGGTCCTTGTGCTAAAGCTATACCTTACACTAGTGGGCCCTTACATGCAGTGGTAGATGTTTATGGGACAACAAAAAGAGTGAAAATTATTCAATTATATGGAGGTAATTTACTCGTCTTTTACAACAAATTGTTGGATCTCTCTTTAATGATTATAAAATGCTATTTTTTTGTTTCAGTGAATAGTCTACAGAATATATGTAGAGATGCCATACTTCAATATGTTAAAAATAATTCTGTTAAATCATTACCTCTGCCCCAATGTTTGAAAGATTACCTGCTCTCCTAGATAAATTCGGAAAATATGATTTTTTGTGATGACAATAAGGCTGTTGATAAATTTTACTTTTTATTGGTCATTTGGTGTTTGTATTCTCAAAGTTTGTAAATATTTGGTACTTTATGATAGTAATATTTTAAGTATTGAAAAATTTATGATATTCTCTGTGTAATGATTTGATATTAGCATTTTAGGGATTTTCTTTGAAGGAGTTATTAACTAGCCAGAGATCGACCACTTTATTTAAGCTTTGTTATAAAACAATACTTCTTATTGAACATAATTAAGGAATGGATTAGTTCTAAATATATATTATAAAATAAATTGTCTCTAAAATTTTAACACTTTGAAGGTTACTGTACCAGTCACAATGTTTTTTTAAATATAAATACTCTATCAATTAAATGATTCTTAAATCTAAATTTAGTTTCGTTCACAATTGTTAGTAGGGTAAACAATTAATGTACTGTTGAAATAGGTTATGTATGAAATTAAGCTGGATATTTCTAGTGCAAAGTGCCAAAAAAAATAAGGTACTCAATTATTCAAAATGTTTACCCATTAAAGGGTAAAAAATATAAATTACTGATATAATACATAAATCTAGCAATTTCTTAAGACAAATAAAGTTCAGTGTCTAATAAATGTATGTTCTAAGCCTTTTACTCTAATATTATATTTCTTTTACACTTAACCTTTATAACTGGAATGAAGTAAAAATTTAAAACCTTTTTATCTTCAAACATTGTTATCAAAAGTAAATGAAATACTGTAACAAGGTTATAGTTAATAATTTCTTTTGTATCAATTTTGCATATCTTTCACTGCAATTATTAATTTTAGGGCAGCAATATCTGTTACACTTGTTATGATTATATTTGTACATCTTGGTGCTAACTTTGTATGTATACAAATAATGTGTGGTTATTTGAAGGGTATATGTGAGACACTGATTCTGGTTCATCCATTTATTTATTGTTTACTCATTACACGCTTTTCCACTATTATAATTTAACTTCATAATTATATTTTGTTTTATTCCTTATTCCTAATAATGATTTGTATGTGTTAAGTTAATCATTGCTACTAAAATTAAAATTGCGAATTTAATGCTGTCGGTTGTTTTTATGTTTCATGCCTAAACCACTGAACGGATTTTGAAGAAATTTGATATAGATAAAGATGGGACCCTGGAGAAGGACATATTTTATCCCTTTTCAGAATTGCGATCTCTAAATTGGTTTAATTTGTTGTTGTTTGTTGTTTATATTTAAATCCTATTCTTAAAAGTACATGGGTGATACCATGAAATGCATTTTGGGTGTTCTGGCTGTTGTGTTGTTATTTTAACTTTTATTCTGATTTCAACCCTGCCTCTATTCCAAAATCACATAGATAGGACCATGAAGTGTTGTAGTGGCATTGAAAAACTCAGATGTACATTCACTTTAATAATTCACTGCATCTGAACCAAATGAAAAAAAAAAAAATGGTTTGGAAGTACTTAAATTGTACAAAGATATTCTGCTACATATTTAGTATTATTGGTTGCTATGTGTATCCTTGATAAATATTTGTTTTATTCATATTTTGTGAAAAGCTTTATTGTCTAAATACTTATCTCCTCTTAACAATCACAATAATTAATCTACACTAAACATATGGTGCGAGTTGCGAGCAACAATTCTTTGGCCTTGTTAAATAAAAGTATTTATTTATATAACTATAATATCATTAAAATTTTTGAAGTAAATCATTAGGTAATGGCAAAGTGTAAGGGACGATTTGCTTTCCTTTCTCCAAATCGAAGTCTCTATAGTCCAAAACATTATCAGCCTCAATGTGTTCCGCCCAATAGTGTTCTAGCTTCGGATTTAAGGTCCCCCTCCAGTGCTAGAATAAATAATTACTGAACCCGTATCCTTAGTACGGGATAAAACTAAATAATTTAAAATTTAATTTAATGTAAAGACAAGATTTAATTTTGACAACTTAAACTCATACAGACTTAAAATTTAAAGTTATAGGTATGAATACGTCCAGAAACAGTATACATTGTGATATCATTGACCTGACACAATTAAAAATGATTTAAACAATCGCGAAAATTACAATTGATGTACCTACAAAGGTTACATGTACGATTCATTGTCAAATGTAATTTAAATTTTGATTCAGGGTCACCGACCTCACATGTGGGAGGTAGATTATATGATAGGCATGATTCAACTATAGGTAGCTGGAAATTAGACTAGTTATTTCTCATTTGTAATGATTATTTCTCCTTATAATTTCACGGCGCACACAAAGGAAGGCTTCAAAGATGAAATAGTTTCTCCCGTTTTTTACACATTTACCACTATATCTTTGCTACTATTGGTCGTAGCGTGATGTTATATAGAACACAGGCCACAGCCTTCCTCGATAAGTGGACTATCCAACACAAAAATAATTATTCAATTGGAACCAGTAGTTTCGGAGATTAGCGCTTTCAAACAAACAAACAAACCCTTCAGCTTTATAATATTAGTATAGATTAAATTATCTTTTAACTTACATCTCTTGTATGTTCAATCCATATAAGTAAAGTGCCGTGAGAGTAAATTTTACTCCATTCGCTGGCTTTATTAAGAGAGTTGTAGGCGCGTATTTTATCGCCCTTTATGAAGTAGTAGTACGCACTTAGTAATAAAACTCTATAAAAAAAATAATTATAAATAAAAATTTGAATGTTTGGATTAAATTATTTTGCTTCATAATCACCTGGGTTTAAATATGGGAACATGTTTGCAAGACTTGTTCATATCTTTGAATAAGTATTTCAGAGTGCTGTGTAAACGTTGGATTTTTTTGATATTTCGGTTATCGATCTGTTGGAGAGAGCAGCTTAATATTAATAATAATTAAATAAATATAAAGCATTCTTATTAATAACGCATATATACCTCCCGCACCAACATGATCAAGAATCCCTCAGCCAATCTTACAAGAATCATAATTTTATATTCGTGTTTCTCTATTTTGGCCGTTTGCAATTTCTTTATCCTTTCTTCCCAAACGACGCATCTCTCCCAAGCGCCGGTACGGATTGTTCTGAAGTTGGGATTTCAAAATATAAATAAGTATTACATGGGCCTATCACTCAAAATGAGATGTTTAGAAGTTTTTAAGAAATATTTAATGTGACGAGAGTAGTTTCCTTACACGAGCCACATGCAAACGAAAAAGTTCCAAGGCGCTTCTGGTGTTTTGGTCCTTAGTATTGTTTCACCTTTTTTTATGTAAAATTTCTCACAGGTTCGGTACGGCTCCACACTGTAGCCTGTGTCTAGTAGAATTACGATCGCGTAGTAATAGTACCATGTTTCAGCTGCACGGTTAATAGAAATGTTTGAATGTTATATAAAATTAAACATATAATTATAAGGAACTTCACAAAAAACAGTGAAGGTTTTCGAAATTTATAAATTTTCTTTTCATACAAACTCTATCAATTATGGAGTTCCATATAATGCCAATTCTACATTCACATTGAAGTTTTTTCTGAAGACTATATGTGTGAATAAGAAAAGTAAAGGTAACGTAAATGATATCTAACATTTACGAGATTAAATATTCAAATAAGGTACTTATTTTGGTTTTGTTATGTCAGTAAATAATAAATGTTTTCCCAACTATAATCCAAGATAATAAGACACATTGTTTTCTTACAAATAGTGAAAAATAAGCTTAAACTAACAGCTCAAGTCGTAATGGTCGGTGTGGAAAAGGAATTCCCTCATGATGGCGACCATCTGTTGTAATCTCATCTCCGTCAACAAAAGCTTCAAGATCCACAACACTAGTATCTGCCTCGTGGGTAGGTCCGTGAGAGTCGTCATTATGCTCATTACTGATAGACCAAACTCTAGACTCTCCATTTTCTTACCAACTTCAACGCTTAAAATTAATTTTATTATGAAAACAAACCTTTTTTTAATACGAATTGTATTATATTGAATGGCGTCTTCTAAAGACTTCTGATACTAGTTCTATTTTTGAAAATGATGTCTAAAATCTAAATCCAAAGTCATTGGAAATTAATACTATTGTTAGTGTTGCCATATATATATAGGGATTCGATAGTAGCACATCAAAAAGTCTTAATTGCATTTATAAACAACTTACTAAAACAAAAATATGCTGATATAAAGATATCCGATGGCATGTACTTCCATAACATCCACTTGACCGATTTTACGTTGACAGAGTTCCATTGAGCGTTTTTCTAACTTTTGGCACATCCAGAACTATATAACAATCGAAATATATACCTATTGCACGTATGAAGCTGTCTATTTTTAAACAATACATTAGTAGGTTCGGATTATTTTATTAAAAAAATTAATTCATTAATATAAGTTAATACATACATAAAACATATGATTAATTTTTTTTTAAATAATAGTGTTGGTATGCTTAGCACATACATTATAGTTTTTACGTCACACTACAAACGGAGCGTCAACAGTTTTTCATTTAGAAATCACGCGTCACAGTACCTATTAACTTACATTATAGAACGAGAGACGGTAATAGACAATAGTTACGTATGTAGTGTGACAATGTAAATTGTGCTAAGCATATCCTTATTATAGCACTTGTAAAGAAAAAAGGTTGTTCGAAAGAGTTTTACTAGCAACAAATTAATAAAAAAAATCTGAACAATCAGATTACATATTGATTGAATCGGAATTAGCTATTGTTCGGTGAATTAAAGCTAAAAATTTACTAAGACTAAATATACATACAATTCTATAATAAAATTTAAATCCTTATATACTACGTACTACATACTAGTAGTATATATAATTCTACCTTTTTAGTCTGTCTGTATGATGATATCATATTTCCGTAGCTGACACACAGCAGGCGAAAGTTTGAATCGGTACGTAACGCGTAATTCATGGACCATTTAGCTGCGAGGGCTGCGTTTGACATCTCTTTACTCTCCTACAAAGATATAAATTAAGACTTCAAATAGTACCGAAGAAAAAACGATAGTTATAGTAAAAACTGGTTTTTGCCCGCGACTTCGTCCGCGTTAGTTTGGTCAAGAGTAATATATGTAGGTATAGCTGACCAGGCGAACTCTATTCCGTCTAAGAGGCCATAAATAATCAGGTTTATCCTGTTTCAATCGAACAGAATGATTGACATATTAGTTAGTTGTCAAATCTAATGTCAAAAAAACGTTTGTATGGGACATAGAAAAGGGCTGTTTTTAGGGTTTTCCCGGCAATTATTTCAATTTTTCTCACCTTTTAAACCTTTCCTGGACTTCCAGGAGTATTTCAAGACTAAAATTAGCCAAATCGGTTCAGCCGTTCTCGAGTTTTAGCGAGACTAAGGAACAGCAATCCATTTTTATATATATAGAAGATAGAAGATTAATGGCTAAACGGATCAGAAATGTTGGTATAATAACAATAGTTCATGTTGACATATCCCTACTAATATTATAAATGCGAAAGTAACTCTGTCTGTCTGTTTGTTACGCTTTCACGCTCAAACCACTGAACTGATTTTAATGAAATTTAATACAGAGATGGAGTTGACCTTGATAAAGAACATAGGATAGTTTTTATCCCAGAGTTTTATTTAGTTCTCTTGGAATATAACCGAACTCGGAGCGGTCGAAACTGCGGGTCAAAAGCTAGTATTCCTTAAATTAATAAGAATATGCTGTACATCTTCATATCACTTACATTGAATAGCCTGTATAGCCTATTCAATGTCCAGGCGATAGCTTCGTAAAAATCCCCAACGAAACCGCTGGTAGTAGCCACATACATCTGTGGTACTACGAACAATGCCATTATCTGACTGAACGAGGCCCTCAAATTTCTGAAGCGTACCGCGTTTCTGTTGTAGTAACAATAAAAAAGAAAAGAATTATAAAGAATGAAAAGAAAGAAGAAGAATAAAGAATAGAATAAAATAATGTATTTTTTGTTAATATTATTAAGAACTTTATTAGACTCAGTCTCATTGATAACCACCACTGGATTTGTTACGACGAGTCGACCATAATAATTTGTATGTATTTTAATATCTTTACAATATGATATTAAATGGACATTTTTTAATTACGAATTGAGTCTTTTATCTTCAGTTTTTTAACTATTATTTCTAGTATATCTTCCATTTCGAATACTTTTTGATAAACAAGATAAAAATTAATATATAATTTCATTTACTATACTCGTATATTTATTCTTGTTAATGAATTCGTCATAAAATGTAATTTATAATCTCAATACAAGTTTACATAGTAAATATTAGTCCTTAATCTTTTTATTTACAAACTTAATGTACAATCTTATCAAAGGTTTTTAGGTAAGACGTTGAACTTTATCAACGAAGTTACGAAATTAACAGCAAACAAGTTAATTATGCAAATCGTAATTGTTAACAGGAAAAAGTTAATTGAATTCGACTGCATGCAGAAAATTATTTAAAATTTATGAAGAAAAATATGCATATTTTGTAAAATTTAATTATAATTCTAAGTTACTATAGATATAAATTAAAAAATTTCAGACTATACAAGAAATCCGACTTAGTCTTAACGATTTCAAACTGCCTTATTATGGTCTCTTACTGTCTCATTATCGAGTCAATGGTGGCCTAGTGGTTACAAGGCCCGCTTCTCATGCATGAGGGCGCGGATTCGATCGTGGCAAGTACCAATGTGATTTTTCCGAATCATATTTACTTTCTAAAAGTATTTAGACATCACTGATTAATGCATTCCCAAAGAGGGTTGATGTCAGGCAGGCGGCCAGTCATAAAAGTTAAAACAATTAGCCAAAACTATTCACAACATGTAAGGCAGACCCTGGCTAAAAGCTGGGAAATTGCCAGGGAGAAAACTATCTCATTACATATATGATTCATTTTAATATCTATCAAAAGCAAGTAAAATGAAATGATAAATTAATTTTATTACTTGGAACTTGGGAATGGATCACAGAACAGCTGCATCGCCTGTAACAATTCCTTCCTAGCTTGGTCTAAATCACCACACTCAAGTAAACAAGCGCCGCGCAACGAGTGTATTCGACCCAGTTTAAAATCTTTGACCCACTTAAACTCGGTTTTCTTATTACTCGCATCACTCTGACAAATTATCAGATTCGTCAAATATTATATATTAAAAATATAATAATTCTGACATAGTTTTTCATGTACCAAAACAAATTCTTCTACTTTAGAGAGTAAGTGAACAGCCTGTGGTATATTCATGTTGATTATGCTCAAGTCAGCGTATTCTAAGTAGGCTTCGAATAATTTTTCAGAATCATCTGCAAAGGTTTACTTAGTACAAATCAGATTAACATTGTAATACAGTATATTAAAATCTAAGATAATTCTGTTACTAGTTAAAAAGTTCGTTAATCTTACTATTAGTTTGCTTCGTCAAACTGAACACGTAGAGTTAATAGTTTTGACTTCAACGTAGATTTATAGTTATACCATCATGTGGGAATGTTTATAAAAGCTTAACTATATACGTATTTAATTTAACGAAGCAAACTTGTTCTAAGGGCACTGACACTTCAATTATTTCTTATCTTCATTGTTTTTAATACTAGTAAACTGAAAATCGATCAAATTCAAGGTTGCTTACTGGCAAAAATTGTTTAATAAGAAAATTTAGGGTTTATCGATTAAGAAAGTTGATAAAACTATATCCATAAAGGTATTTACCTGCACCAAGACAATGTTCTATGGCCTGTGAATAAGCCGATAGAAGTATCGGCAAACATTCACATATACTCAACTCTAGAGACGAAAAGGATCTTATACGTTTATCTTTACGATACATTTGCATGGAGCGGCTCAAACGACGCAAATCTGTGTCAAATAAAACGAAATAAACAAATTATGTTTGGCTTTGCAAACAAAAAATTAACTCTACATACCTATAATTAAAAAAAATAGAATAAAAAAAGCAAATATTTGTTTGTATACAAATTTTGTGTCATTGATCGGTTTATTACGACAGTATCATTATGGTAGGTCTGAAACTTTATCATAACGTCTTAGCAAAATTCATCGTATGACAAAAAAAAAACAATTTGATATCCTTTAGAATAAAAAAAGAAACCAAAAAATATTGTTAAAATGAAAATTTAGATTAACATAATAAGATATATACATATAAATAATATCAGATTTTTTTTATAAGTTAGTCACTTACCCTCAGAATCTAGTAATGCACGGATATTTGATTCACTTCTAATTGACATCTGAAAAGCAATCGATCCACTAAATCCAAGTAAAAATTGTTTTAAACTCTCATCATATTAAAAAAACCTACATCTATCTTTATATAAAGTATAAATATATATATTTACTTATCTTTTAACTACCAATAAGCTAAAAAAATTGTATTAAACTACTATTTACCTGGTATTGGGAAAACGCATCAACCCCGCTATTATCACTCGTCATCTTAGTCTCAGTGCTTAAAGCACAAATTTGCTCGCGAATTTGATTTAGTTCCTTGCTCTCATGTACTAAACCCTGATTATTTAAAAATATTCACCAAAAAAGAATAGAAATTACAAGTAAAACTAAGGGAATTCGATATAGTAAAATTTACTATACATTTTAACCAAAAAATGTGGAATGTTTCACGATTTAGTGCCATTCTTGTGCAAAAAAGAATGAAACATAATAGTATGTCAATAACTTACGTTATGTTATAAATAAATAAAAAAGGAATACTCTCTAAAGTACGAAAAATTATGGGACACTTCAATGATTCAAACTTATAATTTGCAGTTAAATTAGCCAATATCTAAAATGTGTTTGTATACATTTTTTATCTTTTCACAGATTTATATAGGTAATCAAATGTTCTCATATTATAGAACTTATTAAGGCTGTTACATACATCGTCACATCTTAACCCCAGAAGTCGTGTAAAACACCCGCCGCCACACGAGTTACAACGTCGAGTGTATCGCTCCAAGAACAGTAGAGAACGAGCGTGTAAATCGCACTTTATAATGAAACAATAATATACATTGCTTATATTATTATTAATTTTATACTAAATCTTCTATATATATAAAAATGGATTGCTGTTCCTTACTCTCGCTAAAACTCGAGAACGGCTAAATCGATTTGGCTAATTTTAGTTTTGAAATACTCCTGGAAGTCCAGGGAAGGTTTAAAAGGTGAGAAAAATTGGAATAATTGCCGGGAAAACCCTAAAAACAGCCCTTTTCTATTCCCCATACAAACGTTTTCTTTGACATTAGATTTGACAACTAACTAATATGTCAATCATTCTGTTCGATGGAACAGGAGAAACCTGATTATTAATGGCATCTAAAATAGAGTTCGCCCGGTCAGCTATACATATATTACTAACGACGAAACTAACGCGGACGAAGTCGCGGGAAAAAACTAGTTTAAAATAAGAATATTCTAAGGCTCAAATTTAAATCATCGGTGATACAACCGTGAGGCTTTAGTTAGAAAAAAACTCTGAAATTCTAATAAGTATATATCAAATCAATAGTCACAATACAATTAACATCATACTAATATTGTTCCGTGTAATATTTGTAACCATAAATCTATTTGTAGAGGTATTTGAACTGTATTAATTCTTATATATGTATAAGTTTGTTTGTGTGCGTGTGTGTGTATGTGTATTTCTTTAGTTTCAATAAATTAAATTGATATATAACTCTCATTATGAGTAATGTTCAATACAATAAACCCGACTCACCTTCTGACTCTCAGTCAATAATTCATACGTGGTCGTTCTAAACATGTTGTGTCTAAATTTCATGTATCCACAGAAGGCGTACGATGGAAGATCTTGACAGTGTGCTGGAAAATGTATTCTATGTAATAGAATACAGAGACTAAAATTGTTTGCACATTACCCAAAAAAATAATGCATTCGGATATTATTTATATATATATTATTCGAATCGAGCTTAATGATATATTTCTTAGAATCATTATTTTTTATTATGAACTAGCTGCGCCCCGCGGTGTTACCCCCGGATTTCCGGGATTTAACGTAGCCTATGTATTATTCCTGGACGTCAATTTCCTATATACAAAATTTCATCAAAATCGGTTCAGCCGTTTGAGCGTGAAGAAGTAACAAACATACACACACACACACACAAACTTTCGCAATTATAATATTAGTAGGATTAATCTTAAGGCCATAATATGTATCATACGTGGTTCAGTGACCCCAACACATGAGCAATGCGGCATTTTAGTGGCCTCCAAAGCCGGAGCCAAGTGGACAAGCACCATAGAACTGTTGGTCGAAAAATCACCACCCTCGCATTCCAGTACACGGATAGCGAATAACTTCGCCACAGCTGTATTTAATGGGTTAAAATAGTTATTAGAACAATTTAAGATGAAAATACGTCATAAAATTCTTGACCTAATCTGTTGGGTAGTTAGGTATTGATTTTGAGCGAACAAATAAAAATCTTCAATCTCAAAGAATTTGGTATGACATAAAATTTTAATTCCAGTTTAAAGCCAAAACTGAAAACAAGACTTTAATTGCCAGACCAAAAAAAAACTAATTCTACACTGGTACTAGGTAGGTAGATTGAGGGATCGTCATCAGCCTATCAACGCCCACTGTTGAGCAAAGGCCTCTTTCTCACAAGATTGAGGGATGAATAGGAAATATTTTTTTCGGGTTGTTCAATGAATAATATTGTATATAGTAACCTTGAGCTACTTTCCGCGGGGAATCGCTCTGCAACAAATGCAAAAGCATGCAGCGAGAGAATACTTCGCCAAGCACAGAACCACATTTCAACAGCATTTTCTCGAAAGGCGTCAAAGAATCGTATGTCTTCAAAATAAGCGCTGAAATTAGAATCAAAACGATATCTTTAAGTCTACGTCACCAATATTAGTTTTATTGTAAATAAATTATCAAAGAACATATAAAAAATTAAAAGCGATAACAGGCAAATCTAAACGTTATTACGTTTAGCTAGCTCTATTCTAAGTATGAGCTTGCATCATTGAAAAAAAAATACGTAACAACCAGTATCAAAGTTTTTACATAAACAAGTGTTTAAGTAGCATGTCATTTGGCAGTACGATGTCCCCTTCCTAGAGTATAACCCGATATATGAAAACAATTATTAATGGATAAGCCAATACATTTTAATACAAGCATTTTTACTTTTCAAAGATAACTACGTTGCGTTACTTAATTATTATAAAACGGGATTAGTTCCTTTTGCCTTTAAAATCACCATCATCCTCCCATCCATACAAAAAAAACAGCAAATATAATTAAAATCTTAGTAAATTTCTTTCAACTTGCTAACCATCCATTTTGACGTCAACTTTCATGTTCTCGAAGTCGTAAGTGTCAGTGAGGACCGCCATTTGTATCATTTCGTTTTCAGCCACCGAGCCTTGTTTAAGTACGTAAGAGTAACTATCCTTTAAAAGAAATATAAAAAAAATCACAACAAAAGCACTTCAGTACTTTTAAAACATAACTGCGGCTTCAAATTTACGTAATTACGAATAAAAGAATGGCACTTTACTATGGGTTTTCATGATCACTTTAAACAATCAGTCTCAATTTTTACCATCTACAAAACGTAAGATATAAATGAGTTCGATGATTGTATACTGACTTTGAAACTGTCATTATGAAGTTTATTCTAGAAACTGATCCTAAGTAATAATAACTAGTTCGAATTTTAAAAATATGCATAATCAATCAGATCTTATTAATATTAGTTCGAATTTTAAATTTTTATAAAATTCGAATTTTAAAAATATGCACAACCAATCAGATCTTATCAATATTAGTTCGAATTTTAAAATTTTATAAAATTCGAATTTTAAAAATATGCATACCCAATCGGATCTTGTTAATATTAGTTCGAATTTTAAAATTATATAATTCGAATTTTAAAAATAGTATAACCAATCAAATCTAGAGATTTCTCGAGTATTTATTTACACGTATAACGATATTTCATCCTAACCTTGCTACATTCTATATCTTCAAACGACGTATTAGTGGTGTCAGTTTCAAGTAACGCTGGTGAGGGTGTCACGGCACCCATTTCGAGCGCTTCTGATCGGGACATGGTCATCATTGTTAATTGACCTCTCTGAACTAGTGATATGACAAAGTTCTGAATCCACCCCGGCAAACCTTCACTTGCACTTTCAATAATCCTAACGACAATATATTAGGCTGTTATAATATACAATAATACGAATTAATTCAATAACTATAGTGATATTTTTGTTGTATTTCAAGTTTTACTAAGAAAATGGAATTGTAGGATAGAATCATCATGATTTGATGGTCACACTACGTTTCTCATATAATATATCATCATTAAAATTTAAAACTACATATAATGTATGGAGATTTATGAACCAAAGACTACTAACTTTCCGTATGTAGTAATGTGATTAAAACTTAGGCTAAGTTCACAAAAACAAAGACGTACTTTTTCATATATATTAATATTTATTGTAATACAATAAAACATACTTTTCCAAATCAGACTGAATGGCTTGTACATCCAAAAGCTGACAGGCTAACGCCGCGTGGTACCAGCGATCGATTCCCGATAGTGGCAACTTGACTATCATAGCGTTAGCTAAACATATTGTGGCTGTGGCTACAATTAAACATATTAGTTCCAAAATAATTAGAATACCAACGTAATTGACGAACATCATTTAATTCTATACAATAGAAGTTTCTACCAGAAAGCGTTTCTTCTTCCGATATGCTAACAAGAAGAAAAATAAGTTTCGCTCCCAAAAGAAGAATTATTATATGCCAGGAATCATCATCAATATATTGACCTTCGGCGATCGCTATCACGCGTAGGGTTGGCAAATTCTTAAAACGAAATATACTACTTGAAGAAATTACCTTATAACGGTATAATATGTATTAAGAAAATTATTTACCACTCTACAAATTTCTTTAATAACTTCCTTCACTTTAAATTGATCGAGGAATTTGGACGCTGGAGCGTAATTTTCAGGCAATGGAAACCGACAGTCGAATACTGTGTTTATAGCATATATCTCAAGAGGCCCTAAAGACGTCATATCAATACTAGAAACAAAATATAGGTTTTTTTTAAATTTACTTAACATCAATATTAAATGCTATAATTATGCTTACGAGGTCAATATTCTGTTCTCGCGATTTTCTCTCAACAATTTCCCACCGCATTTGAAGATCGATTTCATTATTAGTCGTATTATGCCAAACTTTAGCTGCGAATATTAATATTCTACATTTTAGATATCTCTGAATTATTTATTCAAATTCATATTAAAAACTAAGTATCTACCTTGTCTTTCTCTGTCAGAACAAAATGATCAACTATAACAAACGATGGAGTGATGTTTATACATTCTTGCATGAGACGTGTCTTTCCAACCAATTTTGGTCCCTAAAATTTAGGTGAAAAAGCTTAAATTTGAGAAAAATCTTAATTAAACCGATTATGTATTTCTCACATTTTGAATGTTTTATGTATGTATGTATTTTTTGTGTATGTTTTTTTTTTATGCCAGTATGATATACCATAAGCCAAAAGAGCCTACATTAAAGATACTAAATTCACAAAAGAATTAGCATTCAAAGTCAAATTTATTCTTAAGAATTATGGTAGTATTAAAAACAATACTAACAATAAATGCTACACCGAATTTATGGTCTCTATATCTGGTAAAGCTCTTCTGGTGTTCATCCAACGCATTGTGTAAGGTCATTTTATATTTTCGCAGTTCCTCATTACGACCAAGAATTGGATGTCGGCAGTATGTAATTCTTTCCGTCTTTCTGAAGTTTTGAAGCTATATTTATTTTATGACTCAAGCTATAAAAAGCTGACTAATTTTTTATAATTACTAGATTTTATGCTTTTTTTTGTTTATTACCTAGGATTACTGAATTCATATATTGGACCAGGTTTACATATTCCCTTTAAAGGTTTTATTTCAACCAATTTAAAACACTCCTGATTTAGTTTGCTCTTTAAAAATGTTTCTTTGTCACACGTCACTTTATTTGGATACGCCATCATTAAACGAGCAGCCTGTAATCAAAATTTCTTTAATTTAGTTGAATTATACTAACGGAACCTTGGAAAGGCAGGAAATGTTTTTATTCCTAATTTTTTTACCCTATTTTTCATATGACAACACTAAAATACTTAATACCACAATAAAAAATGGCGGGAATTTCACCTTGTTAACAGCTGATCCTATTACAGTATATTCTCTCCTCAGTACATGACCGACAACGCCGCAATACGTTAGTCCTGGAAATTACATGAAACAGTCCCTAATTTTAAGTAATATTTATAAGATTCTGGCAATAGAAAATGTTGTAAAGACTTAACGAACCCGAGGTAACTGCAATGCTAACATTTATAATATTAACATCATCAAGAGATTCCTTTAACTGAGACGCACATTGAAGTGCCTTTTGGGCTTCGTCCTCGTGTTTGAGACCTCTCAAGCCGAAAACTACAAGCAACATCATGTCCTTGTCGAACATTGAGATTTTGTTGACGAGACCGCCGGCTTCTGACGTCACGCTATAGATTATGGAAATTCAGTTTCGAATTAATATGGAGTTTAAATTGAAAATTAGCTGTAAATTTTATATACTTATTATAAATGACGCTTGAAAAGCTAACCATTTGAATTTTGATGTAATAAATTTATTATAAAAACATTCAATATTAGTAAAACAGTTCCTATCCATAACCTTAGCTTTTCTTTTAAATTTTACGAACAACAACAATTCTGTTAGAAATATTATTTTTATAATGGTATTTTCAGAACTAAGTTTAATTCAAAATAAGATTAGTTTCATTTTGAGTACCTGCAGACGCATTTATACGCGGTATCAACAACCTCAATAAGTACAGTCTCTGTGACAGTTCGTGTTATTATGTTTATACAGACAACAACAACATGGCGGATTTCGGTCAGAAAGTCCATAGGTTCGTCGTTGTCAACCGCTCGTAATATTGGTGGTACCATGAATTGACGTAGAGCCGGCCACCAACTACCACGCATCGCTGCTACCACGGCTGGACGATCTAGCGTGATTTTAATTATATTTATACTTTCCTAATATCATTATATTTATATGCTATAATCCTCCCTGGTAACATTGTTTAATAATCTGTATGCATTTATACGATAGATACTATATCTAGAAGATCTTAAAGATGTTTTTACGTCTAAAAATTTTTAAAATCACATACTATGGTTTTTAGTCTAATTAATTAACATTGTAACTTACGTGCATACTCTCGATAATTAATGCCGGATACAATAAAATTTTCAGCTGATAAATTTTCGTTACTAAAGAATTCTGATTCTGTAATGAACAATTTAGGTTTTTGTGTATTTACTTTTTGTATATAAGTTATATATTTTTATTACTTAATTCCATATTTATTAACCTTTACTCGTTCCGAGAGAAGAACGCAGTTTCTCTACTCTTTTCCATGAAGCGCCAACACCCAATACCTTTAACATTTTACATTAATATATGTAATAAGCATTTGTTCTCAAATCCTATTTTATTCTCTATTAAAAATCAACGAAAAAGTCTCAACAGTACAAAAGAAAGGAGCGAAATATAACAAATAGGATTTTAGCATGATTCATGAACGCAAATGTGTTCTGCATTTTAAATAATTAATTGTAATTTGAGAATATAGACTACTGGTTTTCTATAAACTTATTATTGTTACTTAACAAAGAAGTGTAATGAAATAAAACACAATTTTATTTAACAAATTAACCTTAGTGTGTCTACCATCTCCGCACGGCTGTGTGCAATATTCCGCCTCATTAACATACATCCAAGCACTGGCTGACGTTAAAACGTCACCAGCTGCGCTCATATATTCCGCCATTTTGACGTCCCATACCGGCTGACCGACTATCACGTATTGTGTTTGGGATATATTACCACCACCAATTATAGAAAAATGAGACAAACCGGCGGATATAGCGACTTTGACTGTAATATTTAAATAAAATTCATACATATACCTACTATATTTCTAGTAAAAAATGTGATATAAGTAAAATGAATTTGAATTAACTGGATACGTTTTTATACGTACTGTCAGTTAATACGATATCCTACTAATATTATAATTGCGAAAGTATGAGTGTGTGTATATGTTTGTTACTTCTTTACGCTCAAACGGCTGAACTGATTTTGATAAAATTTTGTATACAGAAAGCTGACGTCCAGGAATAACATATAGGCTACTTTACATCCCGGAAACCACAAAATCCGCGGGGCGCAGCTAGTAAGAAATAAGTTCTAACTTGTTTTTCTTTTAATCGTCTCATAATTAGTAAAAGTAATTATTTTAATATTGCTTAATGAACAATATAAATCGTTACACTAATTGATACCTTTTAAAACAACTCCAACGTCAGTCATATATCTTCCGTAATTTTTTTGAATTAACAAACCACAATCTATTGCGGTATGAACGACATCTTGCATGTTTAATCGGGGAGATTTCTTCCACATCGACAAAAATGCGTCGCCAGAGAACTTTAAAACATCACCTTTATGAGTTAAAATTTCTTGAACCATAGCACCAATATAAGAATTAAGAACCTGGGTGAGCCTCGAAGGCCCACCACCCGTTTTCGTATAAGTCTCACATAGCTTGGTAAAACCTATAAACAAATATAATTTTTAATTTTGTCAAATGGCAACTATGTCATCGATAGAATCTAGCATAGCATATAGAATAGCATTTAAAATCTTTTTTAAACACGGAGATTTTGATGAAATAACCTACATTCAGAAGCTTGATATTTTTTAATAGTAAAATCATTAAGTAAAATATTTAATGAATATTTTTATGAATTTGTATGTTTTTACTTATGTGCTTGAGACCTTTGCTTTATTTTATTTATTGCTTTAAGACCTAAAAGAATTTCTTTGGTTCAGAGAATTCGATGAAATTTAATACTCCGTTTAGATTTTAGAATGTAATACGAGTTTTAAAAACTTGAAGCCTGACTTAACAAATCAATATTTTTTCTTGGATTATTTACCAGAGACATCTATAAACATGAGCGCAGTCTCATAACTTCTAACGGCATGGTCTGAATGTCTGTAAATAATCTCATCCGGCACTAAGGAAGCTATAATTGCAATTCTTGTCGCCTGTTGGACAGTACTCCAAGTTCCTGATATACCATCTAGCCTACGAAACAATATTATTTCTATGAATTTACATCCTTTGCATACTTCTTGACTAGCTCATTAATTCATCTATAACACGTCAGAATTACCTTTGCTCTATTCACAGAGTAGTAGAATACTTACAAAGCTTGTTTCTTGGATTCCTGATTTCGGTGTTTCTCTCTCGGAGTAACCTCGACGTACGAAGACTTTCGTCGAAGTTGCTTAAGGGCAGCCAAATAGGCTTCATATTTTTTAGCATCCTCATCTAAAAAAACCTTATTTCATAGCATCATACTTTAACTGCCTAAGTCATATCATAAAATTGATCCTTTGATTTGAGATTCTAAGTAATTGAAGTAAATTTTAGCCACTAACATTTCTATTACTGGTATCTTTTCATTGCATTGAGGATGTGGTAAATGAATCAAAATTATTGAATGAACTATGCTTGAAAATGAGAATATTTATGTTTAAAATTTAATTTTAATATTATTTAAAAATATAAGTATAAAAAATAAATATATACCATTAAAGAATCTCAATATTTTTAAACTAAAATTACTAATATGAATGATGTAAGTAATTGGCCTCTACATGATTTTTATATAGTGATATTTTACCAGGATTTATTGCATTTAGTTGGTCCATTTTTTATTTATAAAATTTTCAATGAATTGAAATATCTTAATTCACTCTTTAAAACAAAAGATGCTTTAATATGTAGTAGTCAACTTGACATGTGCTTTTTTCTTTTCATTTCTATTATAACTTTAGTCTGTGCATGAATGAATTAAAAAATCTACCTAGTTTAATGTTTAAAGGAATAGTTCAGACATACGGTACCATTATTTATTATCTGTATGTATTTAAAAGATTTAACTAAAATTCATGTTGTCTTTGGCAGATATGATTGTTAGATTTTAGAATAGTACAATAAAAGATGTTAATTTTAATCTCATATCAATTTATTTCATTACTTTTTTAAAGTATTTCATTACTTTTTTAATATATTATATGAACACAATCTGGAATCACAGAAGTTTGTTGAGTAACTGAAAAGTAGAAATTATTTTAATTTTAATTAGAGGTTCTATAGGTAAATTATTTCACCTAAAAGAGTAATACTAAACTTGAATATGCCTTTTATGGTCTTAATATTTTGATAGAAGAAAAATGTTTAGTAATATTTTATAAGCTACTAACATTACCTTATACTTACTCAGCCTTATACATACCCGTTTTGGTGATTCAATACTCCCAAGTGTATCGCTTCAATCCTATGTATATTACAATATATTAGCTTTCTACAGTTACATATAAAAATTAATATTTAACCAAGAATGAAAAATAAATATCTGCAATTTTGTGTTTGATACATCTTAAGCTCCTATTTTTATCACTTTATAACTAACAGAGCAAGAAGACTGAAGTTCTTAAGAAAATTTATAAGAGAAATTTCTTTGCAATCAACTTTCTTATAGTGATGTTTTACTGCTCTACTCACTAATTGCTCTATAAAACACAACACTAAACTGTTGGACACCCCTTTTTTCACTACTCACAACACAGAACACAGTCCATGTTCAGTTTTTCACTTTATTCTATATACCCCAGTCTAATATTGATTTAGTTTACACATTCTTAATCACAGGACATTCACTTACTGTAACTTCACTTAACTCACCAGTTCACAAGAGGTTTAAAAAAACAACAACATCAAATATAATAATCTATTTGCGTTCACACACTACACATCACCTATAATACACTGATATAGTAAACACTAACTGTATATAAGAATACACAATGTATATATGTTGACAATCTAGCAAGAACTAGTTAATGAATCTATATTGCAATAACAACTATTGCTTTACACAACTTTTACAATGATACACTTCCACAATGTTACTTGATCCATCACAATATTATGATTACAATCACCTCACAAGCACTACACATCACAACAATTATATAATATTAGTGTTTTGTTTTAAATTCTGGCAATATTTACTCAGTAAGAAACTTAAGCTATGTCTATGTCTAATTTGATAAACACTGAATATAATCCTATGCTGAACCGCCCCTAACTACCACTATAACTAAATGATCCTCCTTCAAACTCTCCTCGGTCAAGTTGTGACAAGTTCTCTTGAGTAGTTCCGTGGAGAAGTCACAGGGAGGGAAAGAGTACAAAACCCCGGTGGCTTCAGTTTCTTTATTCAACAATGATATAACTCCGGCGGCCTCTTTTTGTTTCAAGTACGAAACTAAATTCCTCATAGGCCTTGTCTGTATGCTTGCATCTTCGTTTGTAATGGAAGCCGTCGATCCCGCCACACCGAGGAAGATAGCGTGTGAACTAGAAGTAGCAATACGTTTCTGTACGTCATCTAACTTTGGCTGATCCAGACGGAGCCGTTGTGTAATCCTCAATTGATTTTTACCCTCCTCATCTTTCATTAAACTGTCAATTATGTCTGAATCTCCATCCGTGAGGTGGAATTTAGTGGGAAACAAGGAGTTTTTGAGTATGAGGGCACCATTCCAGATTGTTGTAGCTTTACGAACAACCTCGGGTAGTGTTCTAGCTGAGGCGAGCATGCCACTGCTGCGTCGGGGAGATCCATCGGAATCACTGTCGGGGGAGCGACGTCGTGGGGAACGGGAACGCGATCTATCTACGCCAGGTTCTCGGGAACCAGAACGACGAGCTCTACTATCATATTCAGCATCTGGTGCTCTCCGCCACTCCTCATCCCTATAATCAGCGCTGCCGTGGTACACTCCACGATACATACCACGACCTCGCCCGCGGTGGCCGCCCCTACCTCTATAACCAGAACCATAGCTATAACCATCCTCCCATGAACCTTCATATCCTTCGTAACCTTCTGCACGACCTTCTTCAACGGGTGCTGCATATGGTTTAGGTCTGTATGGTCCCCCGGTGCCCACATCAGCAAAATCAATCCTAAGCCGCCTATCCGGTCCACCTAACGGAAAGCCTCTCATTTCCTTTACAGCAGCTTGAGCTGCGTCTATCGAATCATACAGTATATATGCATGAGGTTCACCTTTAGCATATTCAATTTTCTTTATGGCCCCGAATCTATCAAATTCTCTTTCTAATTGGGCTACTGACGTCCATGGACCTAGACCACCTACCCAAACACGAGTGGTCGGTGTAGCTTTGCCATATCCAATTTTACATTGAAATTTACCAATATACTGGCCAGATAGCTCTACTTTGGCTCGGTGAGCCATGTCTAATGTTTGATAACGGACAAATGCAAATGCATTCCCAGTGCCTGGAGGAGGCCTTTTAATGTCAATGTCTTCAACTATGCCATAACGGCCGAAGATTCTTCTCAATTCCTCATCTGATATATTTATTTCCAAGTTCCCAGCAAACAGAGTTCTTGTTGCAAGAGGATCATCTTCTGGTTGTACATGATGTAAGTAGTTAGGGAACTTGTCTTTTTTGTTTTCCATTTTTTCAAACGGCGGATGATGAGGACGCGGCATGTAAGGGCGTGGCATGTAATGAGGATGTGGTGGGTGATGCATGGGTGGGCGATGGTGCATTGGAGGCCCGTGAGGCCCCGCCATGGGGTACTCATGCATCGGAGGCCGAAAATCTCTGTGATGTGGTGGGACCGATGGAGGGATTCCGTATGCGCGGTCGTCTGGGGGTGGCCTCCTCCTCTCTGGTACAGGAGACCACGCGTATGAATATGGACGGTCATAGTCAGGGGGAGTAATGCTCCTCGGCCTACTTCTATATTCAGACCGCACTGGCTCATACACGGGATCTACGATAGCGACCTTGTCATACAAAATGATTCTTGGTTTCGCATGTTTGGCATCCCTGGCGTCTTCAGCACTGCGGAAGCAAACATAAGCTACTCGCTCATCTAATTCGTGGGAAATTTTGATACTGAAGTCACCGAACTTTTTGTATTCCCTATAGAGAGTATCTTTCACTATTTCATCAGAGGCTTTAGGGTGAAGCGCACTAACGCATAATACTTTATAATAAGGGCGAACCGATTCCTCCCTAACTTCTCTGGACCGCACATAATCATCGCGATGAGGAGATACGTAACGCCCTCGAGGACTGGGCGAGCGCACCCTTCGCCGGACTCTCTCCGGCGTCACACGTTCGTCCGAGCTGTCGTCATATCTTCCTATACTACTGCGCGTCCTTTTAGATCGTGGCATACTGTCCCTCGATGAACTTCTTTTCATGTTACGAATTTTCACCGTAATACGATCTCTATCTCTATCGCTACGCGGTAATCCAATCATGAAAGCTCAGTTCGATGGACCACTATCTGAAATGCACAACATTACACGTCACTTCAAAATGTCGTCTTGTTCCAGAATAATTTATCTCACCGCACAATACAAAGGATCACAGTCTTACCACAAATATATGTACTTAACACCTTTAAAACTAGTCCCAAACCACAACACAAATTCGACTTTAAAAATATTGTCCTACTGTAAAACCTAACTAAATATGAACACAAAAATAACTTGCCAATTACAAGACTGGAAACGAGTTCCCAAAATGGCTGCGATAATATAAATTGCCTTCTTGTAGATCAATGAATGTCGCTGTACTGTACTGAATCAAAAATTGTAGAAGAATCAATCTGACCAACATTGCATTCGATGCTTTTCATGGACATGAATGAATACCAACATAATAAAATAAGTTTATAAATATATGTTTAGAATCAATGATTAGAAGAAAATATTTTATATACATATTTATTTAGCAAATAATAATTTTAAATATTATTACTTGAAAACATGCACTATAAATGATTATAAAAATTTTAAACATATGCATTCACAACAAGATTTTTTAAATTTTAATTATTTTTGTTTTTTGGCCATTTGACAATTTGCCATCTGTTAACTGTTTACGTTGATTTATTTATTTGTATATTTCTAACAATTTATCTTTCTTATTTAATTGAATACATTTCAAGGTTAATCGTGAAATCATAGATGTTTCATAATTCACTTGCATAGGTACACATTTGTATATTTACCTTTCAACTTGTGATAATTGGACTTCAAAACAAAGTTCCAAAGTAGATAGTAACCAAATTTTTTGATAGTTTAGGTATTCTTTGTCAACATAAATTACTTGTATTTGGTATTTATAAATTTAGATAATTTAATATATTATTTTAATTGTTAGAATAATTTAATGAACCCTTTTTGAAAACTGCTTTACTTACAGAAATAATTGCAACAGCACTATAATTTCTCTATAGTTTCATTTCATTCATTGTGTAGTATTGTCTTGTTGCAGACATTTACATATCTCTATGACCTTTGATATTTTTTACGACATGATAATATTTACTCAACAATCACAAAAAAAAGACATAAAACATGTTTACTGTTATAATTTTTAATCTAATAAGTCATAACAATATTTTCCTGTAATGTTATCCTCAACACTTTCCAGGTCACTCTAGATCTTTATAGTGAGTAATGTCCTATAAATAATTGTAATTTGTAAGCTAAAATATCAGTAAGTTAAAATATCAATATGGATATTGTGATACAAGTTAATAACCAATCTAATGGAAGAGATAAACTGGCCAGGTATAAAAATATTGTTCTTTACAATATTTATATCGCTTCAATATACCATATTAATAAATTTATGTATATTTTTAGGTTGTTCCAATACACAAGCAGGCTTTTGTGGCATCAGCTTGAATCTAGAAATGCAAATAAATATTCAATTGACAGAATAAAAAGTCTAGAAAATGCTATGAGTTCATTCAGAAAAGGTAGACAATAATTAAAGTTACTATATGATGTTTAAGTGAAAAAATTTCCTTTATTATTGTTCATTAATTAATAATTAATATTAATTAAATTTGTTACTTTATTCTGTACATACATAAGAGATTGTAGAAAAGATGAATAATTATTTACTCTGTTTTTTTTCAGTTCTCCGAATGGGCAGATGTATTGATATTTGCTACATGGCACTGAATACAATGCACATAGAAGATCCATTCCTAAGAATGTCGCTGACTGTGAGCAAAATAGCTCATGCACTGTTCTTGTATGCCGACCATGTAGTCTGGCTAGCAAAGAGCGGTTTTCTAAAGACAGATTCAGATAAGTGGAGCAAAACTGCAAATAGGTTCTGGCTGTTATCAATCATTGCAAATTTAGCAAGAGATATTTATGAGATATTACATCTATTAGAAGTCAATCACACATCATTGCTTAAAACCTCAGAATTGTTGGGATGTTCTGTTAAACATTTTGATTTGCAGAGGAGCTTGAAACATGTGTACACAATTATACACTGCCATAGAGATATCTTTATAGATACGTTGAAAAATTCTTGTGACTTATTCATTCCCTTGACTGCTTTGGGATTTACGAGGTTAAATCCCAGTGCAGTTGGTGCTTTAGGAGCTATTTCATCATTAGCGGCATTAGTAACAGTAATTAAACCTATAACAAAATTGGTTCCAGCGTAATTATAAGACTGACATATATTAGCAACGGGATTTTATTGTGGGGTAGGGGAATTTTTTAATGTATTTTTTAAAATATTTGTCTTCAAATAGTTAAAATGCAATGATTATCAAATAGTCTTTTTATTAAACTAGTTATTTAGTTTGTTGTTTTTTCTTAAATAAGCACAATATCTGGCCGGCTGGGGTGTTTTTAATCAGTCATATTATAATGAGTCTATTATTAAACATTTGTAAAACATTATATGGATTTTATTTTAATACCAATTAATTTTTTTATGCAGTTTTCTGTTAAATTAAACTTTAGATCGCTATAAATGTAAAATAACGAGTTATACCTAAGTTTTTTTTTATTTAACCCTAAACAGACTAAAAAACTAACAACGACATTGTTTTTTCATGAATTATATACAGCAAAATAGGACGAAATTTGCTATATTTTTTTTTGGAAATATTTTTTTAACATTAGTACGAGGTAACATTATAGAAACGGTAATAGGAAATATGCATAAAAATTTTAATTGCCTAAATTATTTTTTTGTCGAATACTTATTATCATCATATTATAATGAAAAGGATTTTTTTTTGTTTACTTATTATACCCCTAAAATAATATTCAAAAAGTACAAAAAAGGAGCTAATTTCAAACTTCCAAAACGCGCCACCATTGGTTGAACGAAATGTGACGTCATCTTACACGACATTGCATTCATCAGCGTCGGAAATTATTCTGTTTAAAAAAAATTGTGAAAAGAAAAACAAATAATTTAAATCCGTATTTTTGTGCTGATTGTCGTAAAGTTTAGATTTCCGGAAATCTGGGACGATGACTGAAGCTGCTTTTATCAAAAAACAATCGGATAATCTACCGAAAATAGATGCGTTTATGAAAAAACAGATAGTTTTACTGGTGTAGTTCTTATATTTTGTTATACAAGAGTAAATGGTGGCAATGCTACCTTTTGTTTTTAGTAGGTATATTAACATTGACACCTATACTTCTATACTTCGGTTTAATATTAACTTGCACAGCTTTGTCACAATACAATTTCTCTTCAATATGAGATGTGAAAATCTCGACCTGAAGATAATCACATCCAATACGGGAAGTACTGGGTCCTGGTTGATCACAGTGGGAAGTACTTGGAATTACTTCGTTTTCACTTCTTTCTAAAGGTTCGCTATAACATCATTTTTTTAAATTGCTGTCTCTGATGAAAGGGCTTCATTGACCAGTGTCGATCTTCGCCTTTTAACCACAGCCAGTCTCTCCTTTGACCTTTGGTAATCGCATCCTCCGTTTTTGACACAAAAATATATGAGGCAAAACTCCTTTCTTCAACCGTAGAGTACATTTTACTCCTTGCTCTTTCTTTAAATTGTATTCAATATAATTTTCTGTATCTTCCTTTATCTGGAATAAATCTACAAAAATAAAAAATTCTTAAAATCACAACAGGAAAAAAGTTTTTATAGAAAGTTATAGCTACTGAATTTTTTAAATAAATTTAGTTACTTTTCAAACAATTTTTTTTCATGTTCAACAGCTAATGCAGAACTTACTTTTTACTTATTCACACTAAGCTGTATATAAACCACTGTTTTCGTATTTTTGCATCATTTGAAATATTTTTAACACTTTGTCGGGTGTTTTTCGAACAGTATTGGTGAATTCCGGTACTATACAATAGTTATAAGATACTTTTTTGGCTTCTTCCATGATTTCAAGGTTATTAAAACTGTAAATATTTACAAAGTTACTGAAAAGTTCATAGTAAAGACCCTCAGGACGCGTCGTGTGTCGTCACGCAAAGCGCGCGCAATATGGAAGTGTTTCAACTACTCCAATGTTTTAAATTCCATTTTTCAGAAGATCTTGTGTATTTCGAAGCCTATTTAGATTTTTTCAACGTTATAAAGTAGTTAATTGTTTATTTATAACAAAAAAAAACCATTAATATCTCCTATTAGTTTTTAACTGTAATGTCGAGGATGTGAGTATCTGTGCTGTGTTCTCAATATGACATATTATGACATTTGATAATTTGCTAATTTCTGAGACCTGCTTTTGAAAATATTCTTATAATATTATATCATCTCTCATTGGGTTTTGAAATTAAAAATCTTGCCATGGCTCGAAATGTAGCTGAAACCGCGAGAAAATTTTTGCTACTTGGACAATGTGTACCTACGGTAAAACAAAATGCGACAAAAATTCGTGTGAAGAGGTTAGAATTAGATGAAAATTTATTGATGGTAAGTATCTTATTCAATGTTATATTATGATATATTTTTTAATTGAAAGTGGAATATAAGCATTACCTTAGTATTTTAGAAAAGATGAATTTTACTATTGCCACGATCCTGTTAAGAAATGTAAAACTGGAGATATAGTACTTATACAAGCCCTTCCTCACAAAATGACAAAATTAATTACCCACGAAATTAAGGAGGTTGTATATCCGTTTGGCGACATAACTGATCCAGTAACTGGCAAAAAAGTTGCAAAATCTCAATATAGAGAGGATATGGAAAAACAAGCAGAAATCTATGGAAAGTTGGATTCTGGCTTTGATTATGACAAGGCCCCTCAGAGGGGTTGGCAAGATGGCAAAAAAGATTTTACGTCGAAACCTACATACACAAAATTTCATGTGTTTGATGAAGAGGACCCTTATGCAGTTTGAAATAATATTATTTAGTACCTATCTGTAAATAGTAATAAAAGTAGTGTTAACATATAGTTCGTTTTACCTTTACCTTACAAAATTAATGATAGATTCTTAAGGAAATAAGAGTAACCTTATGTACAGCATTGCCCACAAATTATGCAACATTTGGTAATTATCATCCTTATTGGGTTTCATTAAGTGTTTAATTGAGATATTAAGTGTTACAAGTGGCCCCATACTAATTATAATACTATACTATTTTCTTTAAAAATATTTTTATCACCCTTTATAAAATTAATTATTTATAACACTTAAACATTGTAATTTTAAAGTAGCAACTTTTACACATCAGCCTATAAAAGACCTCTTCTCACATGGAGAAGGTCTGAGCATTTTTCACTATAATTGCTTAATGAGGGTTGGTGATTTCTAACTTTTAATTTGAAAAATTATAAGTCCAGGTTACCTCACTATGTTTTCCCTCACCAACTTTCAATGGTGTCTAAATACTTATAGAAAGTACATATGACTCGGAAAAATCACATTGGTAGGTCTAGATACTTGCCAGGTTTCAAACCCCCGCCCTCATGCATAAAAGGCGGGCCTTTAGTCACTAGGCCGCCAATAACTATTGCATATAAATATCACTTTGTAATTGAAAACGCTGAATACTGGCTTCAACCATTCAGTAGGACATATTGATATAGGTCTTGTATTATATTATTACTTTATATGCATGGAATAAAACGTTTTTTATATGAAATTACAAGCAGACAATTTGCTTATATTATCAACATAGATTATTTTTGTATATAAATTATCTTCTTCTACCTGGCAATTTCCCAGCTTTAGACAGGGTCTGCCTTACATGTTGTGCATAGTTTTGGCTAATTGTTTTTACGACCGGCCGCCTGCCTGACATCAACCCTTTTTGGGATTTGTATATCCTGTATATATGTGTGTTGTATCAGCACGCCCCCGCACGCGTCCACACTTGGAACACTTGGAACGTGTCAACACTTTATTTATTTATACGGAAATTTGGTCAAAAATTAAGTACCTATTTTTTTTACATAATTCGAATGAGAATCATGTACTGAGTATGCTCCTTAAATATTGATAGTAATTCACCAGTCACCCTGTATATTATAATATGTCCTCATAACTATTTCTCTTACTTTTGACGCACAGACATGTTTTAAACTCAAAAATATGTTTACTTTCTCTAATCATGTGCTTGTCAGTTGTCACTGAATTAACTTTTGGGGGATTTAATCAGAGTTGAAAAATTGCAGGAGTTTTCATTACAAATTAAAGTATGTAACAAGTTAATACCCTATTTTTGTAGAAGCTGACGCGAAACTTTTGTGTTATTAGTTTGTAGCTTTTTTATGAGTTTTACGGCTATTAATAATTTGTGCTAAGCAGGATTTAAAAGAAAAACTGTACAGTACTTTAGCAGAAAATTCCGAATTTAAAAGTTGTTTTAATATTAAGATTGCAGATTTATTCTGCAATTTAATAAAAATATTTCCATAATTATTGTATAATTCATTGTCATATAAACAGCCTACTGATTTTCTTGCTAAATGGAGTAATTAAAAAAATTAAGATATCAATAATAAAACAGGTGAAAAAAAACATTTTATTTTACAAATACATAACATTTGTACATTACTTATTTAATCCTGGGCCAGGAACTCCCTCTCTAGCGCGGCGCCCATTAGGTTCCATGAAGTATCATCATCGTCTGGTGGACCTTCATCGTCTGAGGGTGTGGATGGTCGTGGCCTTTTAAGAGCTCTCTCCCCATCTTCTATTATAAGAAATATTATATGAATATTAATTAGTATTTTTATCGTCATTGTCATCAGCTTATCAGAGCCTACTGAGCAAAGGCTTCTGCTCACATGGAGAAGGTTTGAGCATTAATCACCACACATGCTCAAGATGGGTTGGTGATTTTAAACTTATACGTTTTCCTTCACTGTATTAATTAGTATTCTTATACAGGGTGTATGAAAAACTGTGTCAACCTCCTTAACTGCGTTATCAGTATCGAAAATGGAACACAATCAAACAACTTACATTTACAAACTCTTCAATAAAAATAATAAAATTAAATATTAAATGATTATTATTATATGTAGAGTAACAAAATGTTTGTAAGCCCTGGTATAACACGATGACACTGAATGACGTCATCACATCTGCTGCGCTACTAGTGACGACCTTGAAGTTACTTTCACATTATTGAAAATATCGATATTTAAAAAATCATAACAATAACTAAATATTTAATATTCATATTATTTGGATACTTATTTTGATATATCAAACATTAATATTATTTTTGATTGTAAAACACCATTTAATTTATTTTAATGTGAAAAGCATAACTATTTATAGCAATATTGAAAATGTCGATAGAATATTTATCGATATAACTAATTTTTACACTTTCAAATATCTATTCGAACAACTAACAAAATAGTAATAATAACGCCGGCGGCCCGGCGCCTGCGGTCAATGGCCACGCATGCGCCGTCGCGACCATACGGTGTCTTGACCTTGTATGAGTCAGATGTTTGGAACATTTTTTCAAATAATGTCGATTTAAAATTTATTTAGCCTATGCACTGTAACTGACCTCTGCTTGATATTTTTTAAGTTATACTATTTTTTATAAAAAGCTTATACTTATATGTATACATGCCTTTAAGGGTTGACACAGTTTTTATAACACCCTGTAAATAGTATAAATGTTCATAAATAAATTATTATGAATTAAGGGTTTCATATAATTTGGAATAGTTTTCGTAATATGTCATAAAAAATAAGTAGAATACTAGAAAGATATTACTACTGATAGCAGTTTTATAGTAGCTAAGACCTATCGGTAGTCAATTAATATTGGCGCATCTATGGACTGCTTAATACTCTTATAGAAGAAAGGAATTTAAATATATTAAAAAGCCTGTCTAAGAAAGCTCTATCTTTGAAATATTAATTCGAAGACATAATATATGTATGTTAATTAAAATTGTATGGTACCTGTGTTGGAATCATTAGAATCTTCATTTAGTTTCTCTTGTAACCTGTAAATTTAACATATTATATTAAAAGCAGCATGGGCAGATCATATTGAAGATTAAATTTAGCTCTTAATTTATTACAAAATGATTTACAAATATTACAATTGTGGATTTACCTTTCTTGAGAACTATTTCCCGATTCTAAACTCAGTAGTCTGTCTTCAGTAATATTCTCTTCATCAATATCACCAAGTACCTTTTCTTCATCATCCGATGAACTTTCATCTGATTCATTAAAAATATCTTCTACCTAAAAAAGAAACACAAGTTTCTTAATTGTTACATTTATAATTACCTTTACTTGTAGTAGTAAAGAGGTATAAGAATTAATTAAGCATATATTTCATACTTAAAAATATTAAGTGGACATTTTTCGAAATTCAATCGTGTTATTTAAAATATATATGAATCACAATCATATAAATTACTAAGGCTACAACTTTAACATAATAATATATTTAATCCTACTAATATTATAATTGAGAAAGTTTGTGAGTGTGTGTATGTTTGTTACTTCTTGACGCTCAAACGGCTGTACCGATTTTGATAAAATTTTGTATACAGGAAGCTGACGTCCAGGATTAACACATAGGCTACTTTATATCCCGGAAAACCGCGGGGCGCAGCTAGTATTATATATATGTACGTATATTTAGTGTTTAATAGTGTAAATAAATTAATACATACCTCTCTATCCATATCGGCAATATCATCGCTTGAGAAAGACAGCAGAGGATTGATTGTGTCCATAAATCTTCCGGACGGAGTTCTTTTCCTTACAGCGGGCGCTGGCGGCGGGCTGTTGCAATGAGCGGGCGGGCGGCGTAAACTACTCTGTGCATATATTTGTATACATTAAATATAACACTATTCGTAATACGACATCAAGGCTGAATACCTATTAAATTCTTTATTTATAGGTTTTTAGTGCCAAATTCCTACTAATATTATAAATGCGGAAGTAACTCTGTCTTGTCTGTCTATTACGTTTTCTCGCCTAAACCACAGAACTGATTTTAATGAAATTTGGTACAGACATAGAGTTGACCTTGAGAAAGATCATAGGATAGCCTTTATCCGAGACTTTTGAAAGTTTCTTTTGGAAACGCGATATAACCGAACTCCACGCGGGCGAAGCCGCGGGGCGGAAAGCTAGTGTACTATATTCCAATGTTAAATATAGTGAATAAGACATAAATCAATGGCTCTTATGTATAAGGGCCAATGTGCAAAATGACAATTTTTCAGTAGTGACGTTTTAAGTTTGATTTCAATTTATCTTTTACATGCGACGATTGATGCTTTTGAAAATTTTTCATAGCAACTATGACATACATGTACGTAATTTAAGGTTGATAATTTTATTTGTAAACCTAATAGTTTTTAAATAATGTATACAGGGTGACTGGTGAATTACTATCAATATTTAAGGAGAATACTCGGTACATGATTCTCGTTCGAATTATGTAAAAAAAAAATAGGTACTTAATTTTTGACCAAATTTCCGTATAAATAAATAAAGTGTGGACACGTTCCAAGTGTTCTAAGTGTGGACGCGTGCGGTGGCGTGCTGATACAACACCACGCCACCGCACGCGCGTGTGTGTGTGTATACCTAATCTGTAGGGTGTTCACACGATGCGTAATTAATTACATAACTTTTGGTTAATTTTACTTAGAAGTTTATTAATATTTATGTTATATTAATTTTTATTTTGTCATATATGATCGTCAAATATCACGTCCTCAAGTATCGATAGTAATTCACCAGTCACCCTGTATAAGCCCTTATACATTAAAAAGTGTGTTACTTATGCCCTTTTATTGCAAAAAAAAAACTAAGTCTTTCCACCAACAAATACGCATTTTTTAAAATGGATGTTGTAGAATACAGTATCATGAAGTGTTAAAAGTAAAAATAAATGAAAATGGTTAAATTGCTACATTGGCTCTTATACATAGGACACATCGAAATATTGTTTTTATAGTTGTATATAAATCTGTTACTACCTGCCCTACTCTTTGTAAAGGGTACAATTTCTCTTCAACACGTTCCCATCGCTCGGCACAAGTCCACAGCCATTCAGGTGTAACAACATGTATCTTTGATTTATCTTCACCCATTTTCTTACTTGCATTTACTTTTGCTGTACCTGAAGTCAATTAATTTAATTGAATATAAAATTATCTTCATATTTCCATTAACATGGCAGAACTAAGTAGTGTTATAAATATAAGGAATAACAAACATAATTAAATTTTACATGTATCAAATTTTCAAGTTTCAAGTATTATTTATGCAATAAAACACTTTTATATTATTTCTTAGTAATATGCAGTTTATAATGAGATCTAAGATTTTCGAGATTACTCATTTAAACATGCAATTCAATGTAAAAAATAATAATAGTTGCTTTTAATATCTAAAAAATTGAGTTTTACCTGCTCTCATAGCAACTAAATGTGTAGTTTTATCTGTGAAATCTTGCGTGACCTCAGCTCCTAATGTTTTTGCAACTTGATATGCTCTAGATGTCTCTAATCTCTGGTGTGTAGGCACTAAACCACTGAACACAAGACTTGAACCGGCAAGCACTTGACTTTTAACCTCTGGTATAATATATTTCAAATCAGGGATACTTTTCTCATTACCATTGTTCTCCATTTTATCATATATCTCATAGAAATGGCTGATAAAATATTAGAAAAATTAGAATTTATTCAACTAACAAACATATTGAACATATATTCATCGAGGATAGTGCAAAATTTGCATAACTAGCATTGCATAATTCTGTGTATCTACTGTCTATCGTGTACAATTAAACTAATATTTTCTGAATTAATTTTCTTCTGATAATTTGTTTCCAATTGGATAATTGTGTGTAAAAATACAGAATTATCCAATGGTAGTTACACGGATTTGCACTATCCCCGACGATATATATGTATATATATGTTAAAGACTTACTTGTGTATTCTTTTCAATATGTCATCCAAATATATTAAGTAGTCATCGGGATCGTCAACTTCTATCTGCCCTTCAGATGATTCAACCCACACTGGTGTTTCAACTTTTTCAGTAGCATCATTTTCAATTTTATCATCTTTTTTATCTTTAATTATACCATTTTCACTATCCTTTTTATCTGTATTACTTTTATCTATTATTTCTTTATTTTCTTTCTCTGGCTCAGCATCCAGTGTTGGCATTTGATTATCTTTTGATATTTGAGAACCATTTTTGCCGCTTAATATTTTAGTTTTTTCTTCAGCTGAAAGAAGTTACATACTTATAAATATGTATGTTATATACAATACATATATATTTTAATAACGAATATAATTTTTAGTGTTATGAGGATGTTGTCTTTGTATCTGTCTTCCATTTTAAGCTTATCAAACAGAAGTCTTCAGAAGGACATATATTCTTTGGATTACATGCGAAGTCACAATCATATTAGATTATGTAACTCGTATCTTAATCCAGATGATATATAATAATAATAATTATAAGTACAAAATATAAGTTTTATTTAAAATATAATTCAACTTACGCAATGGTGGAGGAGCATTTATATCCCCTGTGGATTGAAAGAATGAGTAAGGTCTCACTTGTATTAAGTTGCTCGCATGACGCCAAACATCTTCACGATCATCAATAATACACACCATGTTATCTCCACAAGGGAATAATGCTCTGGAGAATTCATTATAACATTATTTAAAAAACAAACAACATTTTCATATACAATAATAACTTAATTTTATACATATAGATAATAAGAAATTTAATATCCAATAAGGAATCTTACTTCAAATTAGCTGACTTGGTCCTAGCATCGAAGCATTCATCTCTTGATAGAATTCTGTGAGAGAAGAATTTTTTTTGTGGATCCAATAATTCTGTTATAGCATGTGCATACTGCCTCGCACCAAATGTACATACATGTAGCTCATAGTTCTTAGCTGCTGATTCTAAGAACTCGTGGGTTTTAGGTCTTAATCTAGTGTGACACCACCTGCCTTGGTTACCAGGACCTCGAAGAAAGAAGTGGAGTACATCCTGGAAATTGAAATTATATAGTTACTTTACGTGACGGAAAAGAGTTTTCTTTATATGAATTTAATAATTCGGCTTAACAAACAAAATATTTCATTGTATGATCAGATTTGTCGAAAAAAAAAAAACAGCAGACTTACTTTTATATTAGGAGGTATATTGTCATTGGTGGTGTGAACTAAAGTTTGATCAAGATCAACAAGCAAAACAAGTTTACGATCTTTCAGTAAGCGATCGGCGTCTTCACGACCTAGTTTTTGTGCCAATTCTTCGGATACCTATAAAGTTTAGAAGTTTTTGGGGTTATGTTTACAAATGACAAACGATTGTTAATAATTACTAATTGGATTAATTGAAATTAATTGCATCATTATTTAGACCTTTAATTCAGGTACAGAATGAACCATAGGGACCACAGCTACATCTCTTTTTTGTGATTCCCCGGAACGTAAATCGGCTCCACATTCCGCACACATTTCTTTCATAACAGTGGGATGGCGGCATTGTTCTAAATCAGCTATACAACCCCTGAAATTAGATAATTAAATTAAGTCACAACTTCAAAACATTCATAAGAGTTTAACTTGTGACGCTGAACAACAAGTAACAATAACAACTTTTAGATTGGCGCGCAAAATCGATCTTCTAATATTTATGTTGCAATTAAATCTACTTATTTAATCTCTTAGTTTGATTAAAGAATTGTAAGACATATTTATAGTAAATTATAATTGTATTATAATGTGCTATTACTAAATTATTTTAAAAGTACTTAAATATGATATGACGTCACTTACCCAGGCTCTACAATGTCTCCTTCTTTCACCTTGATGGACACAATAGTACCAGAGCGCAGTGCTTTGAATTTCTTAACTTCACTTTTATTGCCTGACGAATCACTGTACAAAAATAAAATTTGTCCACAGGACACAAAAATACCTTCCTTAACTTTCCATTTTATAACTTTTAAAGGCTTTTCGGATGGAACAGAAATAGGCATAGTTTTGTCAGCCATTTTGAACGGAAATTGCGCACAAAATTTAGTTGCTGTACTTTCATTGGACCTTTGGTTATCGTTTTGGCGGTAAACAAATAACAACCAATGAAAATAAAAGTTTTACAATCGATTATAACCTCTACTGTTTTATATGTTATACCAACTTAAAGAAAAATATAACCCATAGATAATTTTATCTAAATTAAATACGAGAAGTCTATGAATTTACAACTCGACTGAATATATGTAAAATTTTAATATATAATTAAGAGTTAGAAATTTTTGATATAAATTAGTATAAGTTTTCAAAATTTAAATATATATTTTTTGAACAGAGTTTGTTGACGGTGCATATCAGTCCATAAAATTTAAAAATGACATTAATTTTCTATGAAACTAAGTTTTGACATTTTAGTGGGGATCGTCAGTTTGTCTGTTTCGTTTATTTTGTTTTGTTGTAAATACAACTTAATACATAATTGAAATTATATATTTAATATGACTGATGAAAATATAACTGTGAGTGATAATTCGGACTTGGAAGATGGTAGTCCCCCAGAACTCAGAGGATATTTAAGTAAATGGACTAACTACATACATGGATGGCAAGATAGATTTATTGTTTTAAAGGAATCTACATTATCGTATTACAAAAGCGAATTGGAGAGTAATCTGGGTTGTCGTGGAGCGTTATGCTTAAAAAAAGCTAAAGTCAAGGTGATTTTACACAGTGCTGCTATATAAGTACATAAAAAATTACATAAAAATAAATTTGTCCTTGTCGAAGATCGTATCTATGTTTTTAATTAATTGCAATAGACGGAACGTCTTGATAAATTACTAGTGATGTGGCTTATTACAATAAAATATAAATCTTAATGAAATTGTTATTGTTTTGAGTTCAATAATTATGTTTTTCTTGGTCAATGTTTACAGTTTTCTTGTAGTTTTCTGCATTAAAATTGAGTTTGATTTGATTACTGTACCAAAGTTTATAATGTGTTTTCATTACAGCCACATGAATTTGACGACTGCAGATTTGATGTGTCCGTTAATGATTGCGTGTGGTACTTGAGAGCTTCAAACCCCGAAGAGAAGCAGCAGTGGATTGATGTACTGGAGTCATTCAAAGTATGTCAATTAATATCTATTCCGACGAGGATAAACAACACAATTCATATAATTTCTCATGCTAGTATTGTCGTAACAGGAAAAATATCAAGGAAGTATTATAAAAATCTTTCATGATACTATTTAATGTAATATATATTCAGGTTATAATGTGGTTAAAATTGTAATAGACATAGATATCACATATACAGAATTGATTATATATGTACTATGTATAATAAATAACAAGATATTTATGGAATGAGTCATTAATGAGTAATCTATATTATATCAGTACTGCAGCTGTAATTCAATTGTAGGCAATAATAACTCATGATAAGACTCATGTTTAGGTTAAAATAATGATTATAACGTGAAAAAGACTTACTTTTAAATAATACGGTATATTGAAGATCTTATAGGAACTCAAAGTAAGTGATGATAAATGATGTTATGTATTTTGTATGAAAAATATTGTTATATTATTTCATAACAAGTATTATCAATTCTAAACTTGAACTTGAGACCTCAAGTATACAGATTATTCACATTTGTAAAAGATCAGAATTACTGTATGAATCTTTACTATAGGAAGTATTTAATGATGCACAAACTTAGGTTCTTCAAGGGTTTTTCTTGTGGACAATATAATTTGGTTGATACTTTTCCATATTTAGTAAATAAGTTATGTTTTTATTGAATTTAATATGAATTAATTCTATTTCAGGTTGAATCTGGCTATGGTACAAGCTCGGACAGCAGTACAAATGGGAGCGGCCTTCGGAGACATGGTTCAGTTACTTCGCTGCAGTCCACTGGATCTGCTGGTCGGTATTAATAATCTTTATATATATAATTCTTCTGTGAGTGTGTATGTCACTGAACTTCTCTCAAACGACTGGACCGATTTTTATGAAATTTTTTGTGTGTGTTCAAGGGGATCTGGGAATTGTTTAGATTCACAATTTTGTCCGCTGGACAATGTTGTTTTCAATTAATTTTTAATTTATTAGTAGTTGTTGATACAAACGTTTTTTTTGACATTAGATTTGACAACTAACTAATATGTCAATCATTCTGTCACACTTCAAAACACGGAGATTTATGGCTTTAATAGGTAAACTCCAAAAATATAAATAAAAAACGCAACAGATATTTCTTGATTATAGGGCGATACGAAGTTCGCCCGGTCTTCTAGTATAATATAATATATTCAAAGCCAATGAAAATAATTGAATAATATAATTTTGTTTGAAATATTATTCAAATGAATCGACTGCATGATAGTGTCATGTGATAAATAAATCATATTGTACATTTTAAATTTACTACATGAATATAATTGAATGTCTGTTTTAAAATTATCATATTGCTATTTCAAGCAGATAGAATATCATGTTTATCAATAATTTGCCCATGTGTATATATTTTACGTATAATTTTTAACATTGACTGCTCAATCATGGTGTTTTATCATATATATCTAATTTTTTGTAGCATGTTTTGTACTGCTTTTCTCATAATTTTGTATTCAATTATAGATGCATACTTTTTGGATATATTTTTTTCAGAAAAAGTATGTCTATTAGAGAGCTATAATTTCTTATACTACCATTATATGTATATAATAAATTAATATTTAATATAAAGCTTTGTAGATCGTTTTGTAATATTGTATTGAAATATATAAATATACATGTACAAAAGCAAAGCACTGTACTGGATATGCATCTAAATGATAATATTTGTCATGTAATTATTTCTGACAATACTGTTTATAACCCGTTTTAACTGGTAACGCTAGAAATAGATTAAAAATTAAATTCAGCTGTATCTAATGAATTGAATTCACCAGGTCGTGCAAATCGTCGTCTGGCTGAGAAGATTGCTGAGTTTGATACATACACCGACCTGTTGTCAAAACAAGCCGTCACTCTCCAGGGTTACTTTGACATGGCATCGGCCCAGATAAACGATGATGAGGCAATTGACGCTGTTAAATATGCTGATGGTAAGATTAATTTGATTTGTATTGAGCTGAAAATATAAAGGAAATTTAATCATTAAAAAAAAATCATGTGATCTACATGGTTTGAAGGTCATGTGAATTAGTAAAATAGATTTAGTTTTATGTCGTCGTCATCAGCCTATCAGAGCCCACTGCTGAGCAAGGCCTCTTTCTCACATGGAGAAGGTTTGAGCACTAATCACCACGCTTGCTCAAGACGGGTTGGTGATTTCAAACTTATAATTGTGAAACTATAAGTCCAGGTTTTCTTGCGATGTTTTTTCCTTCACCATATGTCAGTGGTGTCTAAATACTCTAAGAAAGTACATATGACTCCGAAAAATCACATTGGTACATACTTGCAAGGTTTGAACCCGCGCCCTCGGCAACGAAAGGCGGACCCTTTAACCACTAGGCCACCACTAACTAACTAACTAGTTTTGTGTAATAATTGATAATGTATAATAATAATTAATAATATGAACTTGTAATATGTTATTTTTTATTAGGTATAAACCTCAGTCAATATTCACAAGAGGTGCGTGCCACGAGTGCGTCTTTCCGTGCTACGTGTGCGGCCGCTGTGTTGGCAGCTCAGACATGCGCTGACCTCCTGCGACGAAGAGAGACGAGAGCGAGGCAGGCGGAGGAATTGTATATGTGAGTATTTTTAATAAGACAGCTAAGCTAAACGAGCAGTTTACCTACTTTCTAGGCAGTAGACCTTCGCCCATGGACATCCGCAATAGAAATGTTGCGAAAGTTTTGCCAAACATAGTTGTTGAGGATTTTGGAGGGGTGGGAATAAGGAAATGGCAGGAATGGGTGGGAACAGGGAAATGGCAACGATCTCTCTCACTCATCGGACGAAACGCAGCCATTTAAGGCTACTTCACGCTGATCTTCTGTTAAGTAAGTAAGACACATGTGGGTAAAGTTTTATGTTGCAGTGAGCCTATACTAGTGGAATATGCGTGGGTAAAGTTGAATGTGTCCAGTCGGTCTACACGAGTGAGATACGTGTTGGTAAAGTTGAATATGTCCAGTCAGCCTACATGAATGAGATACATGTGGGTAAAGTTGAATGTGTGCAGTGAGCCTACACTTGTGAAAAACATGTGGATAAAGTTGAATATATGCAATTAGCCTATACTAGTGGGATACATGTGGTAAAAGTTAAATATGTCCAGTGTGCCTACACTAGTGAGATAAATGTTTTTTGGTTTAGTTCAATGCATTCAGTGAACTTACACGCTGAGATATTTGTATGTACAGTTTAAGTTATACATTGAGTATGCTTTAAGTGAATAGAGAAAAACACTGTAATGATACTGAGTTTGATTGAATACGAGTTTACGGAGATAATAAAAAATACAGGGTGACTGGTGAATTACTATCGATATTTGAGGACGTGATATTTGACGATCATACATGACAAAATAAAAATTAATATAACATAAATATTAATAAACTTCTAAGTAAAGTTAACCAAAAGTTGTGTAATTAATTACGCATCGTGTGAACACCCTACAGATTAGGTATACACTCACACTCACACATACGCGTGTCGCGACGTGGTGTTGTATCAGCACGCTGCCGCACGCGTCCACACATGAACACTCGGAACGTGTCAACACTTTACTTATTTATACGGAAATTTTGTCAAAAATTAAGTGCCTATTTTTTTTACATAATTCGAATGAGAATCATGTACCGAGTATTCTCCTTAAATATTGATAGTAATTCACCAGTCACCCTGTATAAAATGAACATTATAATATCATTATACTCCAAATTTTTCTTCTTCATATATGAATACTCAATATATGTGCTCACATTTCCAAGGAACCAATTAAAAGACCGGATGAAACTTTCACTCTCCGTTATCTGGTTACACGTCGCTGTGGTAGTTGTTAAATTTCCATTAACAATGAACATGCGGATGCGGGCCATTAATAAAATTTGTAAACACAGACGTAGCTATTGTACGACTACATATACTAAATATTAGATTTTACACACACATATATTAATATGTGTGTGTGTTTAAAATCTTGTAGGTATGTATATTTATACAACAGCCAATGTTCACAGATATACAGGGTGACTGGTGAATTACTATCGATACCTGAGGACGTGATATTTGACGATCATATATGACAAAATAAAAATTAATATAACATAAATATTAATAAACTTCTAAGTAAAGTTAACCAAAAGTTATGTAATTAATTACGCATCGTGTGAACACCCTACAGATTAGGTATACACACACACACACACACGGGCGTGCGGGGCGTGGTGTTGTATCAGCACGTCGCCGCACGCGTCCACACGTGGAACACTTGGATCGTGTCCACACTTTATTTATTTATACGGAAATTTGGTCAAAGATTAAGTACCTATTTTTTACATAATTCGAATGAGAATCATGTACCTAGTATTCTCCTTAAATATTGATAGTAATTCACCAGTCACCCTGTATATGCATATATATTATTGTTTTTTTATCTTCCTGTTTTTTGTGGTTCGTTTTGTTACAATTTAATTTTTATTACGGTTTTATTTTTGGATTTTATTTTCTCCTACTTCTATTGTAAAGTACTTGAAGTATAACAAAAATAATATAAAAAAATATTCTAGAGATATTTCTTTTCATAGGGCCTTGAAGAATCAGCTATCAGAAGCAAGGCTTGCTTCCAAACCGGGACCTGATCACGAGGTAAGTCATTATATTTATGGAAATTTATTAAATAGTAATAATACATTTTTCACTCGCATTTCTATCCCCCATCTAAGTCAAATTCTAATAAAAAAATCAATATTAAATTTGTTTGTTATGCAAAAATATCGATTTGAAAAATATTATTTGTCATTTTAAAATAATTGTATGAGGTAAAAATTTTTTACCTGTTATCTTTTTACCGATACATAGGTATATATTTTTTATAATTATTCTAATTACTCTCATTATTATAACTGCCATCTGTTATAGACGTGCAGGAAATACTGAATATATATACATATTACTCAAAATTAAGGTTTTCTATAATAACTAAAGAAGGCCCTTCAAAAAGTTTGAGTTATAATGTAGGATTGTTTCAAGGTTGTTGTCTATCTCCAATTACGTTTAATATCGTTATTAACATCTTAGTAGACAAATTAATCTGTAACGAGAAAAAATGGGGTTATCGGTTTAAGTTTAATAATAAATACACGGAATCCATTTTAGCCTTCGCTGACGATCTCGCAATACTGACACGTAACCCCAAACACTGTCAAGTACTATTGGATGAAGTGGATAAATTCTGTGAGTGGACGGATGGATTGAGGACAAAACCCAGTAAATGTCATTGTCTGTGTCTTGGTAGGCGGAATACAAGATACACCTCATACGATCCGGGACTATCGTTAGGCGGTCAATGCATTTCTACGGTTACGGAAAATGCACCATTTAAATTTCTCGGTCGTAAGATTGATAATATAGGCCGTACTCCATCTTTAGAAGGAATAGTAGATAGCTTTTTGAACGATCTTAACAAGGTAGATAGCCAACTGATAAGTAACGTCAAAAAGCGTGGATCTACGATAATTACTTAACTTCACGTTTGAATTGGCCTTTCCTCGTCTATGATTTTAATAAAACCCTTTTGTCAAAGTTAGATGCAGGCGTCATAAAGATGTTGAAGTTGTGGCTCGGGCTCGCTCTAACGGCTGATTCATCGGCGTTATTTAGGGGAAGCAATAGTTTTGGGATGAGTCTAAAAAGGCCATCGGAGCTCTATAAACACCTAAGAGTTTCCAAGAGATATATCCTGGGGAAATCCCATGATGACATAGTGACATCGCTCCCAAAAGATGAAGATGCCCCCGAGCTAGAGTCACGACTTCAATTCCATAAGCAATTTATGATAGGAGCGCAAAGTAACAGAGCGGGGTTAGGATCAAATAGGAAAGTCCAAGATGCGGATATATTGAAGTCTTTTATTCGGCAAGACGAGAATGATAAATATAAGATCCATGCAATGAATTTAGAAATGCAGAACGAGTGGTTAGACATAGGAGATTTTTGCATCCCATTAGCATTAAAATGGCGCACTTTAATTTATGATTGGTCGCCAGCATTGCTAAAATTCTATCTCAATGCGTTCCAGATGACTCTCCCAGATCAGAGTAATTTAGTAAGATGGGGTAAAAGTACCGAAAAAACTTGCTATATCTGTGGAAAGGCAGTTGGAACTGCTAAGCATCTGCTGGTGGGATGTAAGGTACTCCTGGACAGCGGTCAATACTCGCGTCGTCACGATAGGGTTCTAGAAGTCATACGTGAAGCGGTTAGTCTTTCGGTAGCCAGAGCGCAAAAGGAAATAACCACAAACGAACGATCAGTAGGTTTTGTGAGAGAAGGCACTAGGGCTACAAAATCAAACGTCAAGCCTTACTCCATCCTTAAAGCGGCGTCGGATTGGACTATAATGATGGACACGTATGAAAAACAATATAAAATCCCCGAGGATATTTGTGCGTCGGCCTCCAGACCGGATATATTTTTGTTTTCGCGAATTTTAAAGCGCGTAGTGATGATAGAGCTTACGGTCCCTTGGGAAACCAACATCCCCAAAGACCATACCATCAAGGTCAACAAATATTACGAGCTCACAAACGAACTCACTCGAAATAGGTTCGTAGTAGATTTGTACGCGGTAGAGGTGGGAGCGAGAGGTATAACAGCGAAATCTCTCTACAACCTACTAAAGGACTTGGGCTTGTCCAGAACTCACATTAATGCATTCTTGGAACGTATATCGAAGGCAGCCCTAGTAGGTTCTTTTCAAATTTGGTTAGGTAGGGAGAGGAGCTTGGACAGTGGAGGTGAGCGTATAACGCGCGTTAGTTAAGGGGCCCCTTAAACCTACACTTGGGTCGCAAGTCCCAGGCACTGTTGAAGCTCCTCTCCCTGCAACGCGATGGACCCGGCACCCGCACGGTGAATCCATGGAATGCTTAGTAGTTTCGTCTCAGACCTAAGATTTTCGCGAGTATTCATTTAAATGAAACTAATATATTTCGGATATACTACGTAATATTTGTGAAAAACTATGTACATACTCCCGACGTTTCAGTTACTTATAAACAAAAAACTTTCGCTGCATATGTTCATACTTTTTGTAGCTCTAGTTAAACCGTCTATGTAAGAACTTGATCAGTTTAACTTATACATATTATACAAACGGAACGTAAATACTGTATAAGTAACTTAGTATGTAAAAAGGAAAATGATAGATAAATGAGAAGTTTAATATTAAGATTTAAGTAAATATAAAGTCGATTTAATAATTAATTATAATATTACAAAAGATATAGAAGAGAAAAAAAAAATTTGCGTCTGCGTTTACGTAACTTTTCCTATATAAACCAATTTATAATTATGCTTATAGTTTTTCTGTAGAATTTGAAATAAATATTCTTAAAATTTTCTTATATGAAGTATGATAAAATTGTGTAAAGCATTTAAACATCAAAGAAAATCTCTATACAAAAGTACTAAGTTAAGTTTTATAAAGTTTTTGATTAAAAACTCTAAAGATATCGATTATCCCTTTCATAGTTTTTGTACATATAAAAAAATATTTCGTTATATAATATAATAATTTGTTTGTATATACAGGGTGACTGGTGAATTACTATCAATATTTAAGGAGAATACTCGGTACATGATTCTCATTCGAATTATGTAAAAAAATAGGCACTTAATTTTTGACAAAATTTCCGTATAAATAAATAAAGTGTTGACACGTTCCAAGTGTTCCAAGTGTGGACGCGTGCGGCGGCGTGCTGATACAACACCACGCCCCGCTCGCGTATGTGTCAGTGTGAGTGTATACCTAATCTGTAGGGTGTTCACATGATGCGTAATTAATTACATAACTTTTGGTTAACTTTACTTAGAAGTTTATTAATATTTATGTTATATTAATTTTTATTTTGTCATATATGATCGTCAAATATCACGTCCTCAAGTATTGATAGTAATTCACCAGTCACCCTGTATAATTATTTACAGAATTTTTTACAACTTAAGTCGATATTCCTCATTATCCAATTTAGTTAATTATAGTTTTAACTTAAACGAGTGGTAAAAGTAAAAAAAATCTATATACATATTAAGTATTTAATAATAATTAAGTGAAGTGTCTGTTTGTAATTTTATATGAACAATTCTTTACAAATTGCGTATGAAAATTGAAAGTACATCTGTAATAGTATAGAATAGGCATGGGCCTACATCAAAAGTTATTTATTTTTGATCTGGTTGTCTATCTGTTTGTTCCGGCTTATATTAAAAATAGTTGAACCGATTTTGATAGGAATTTAATTATCGGGTAAGTGATATAACAATAAGGAGTAACGTAAGTGTACGTTTTATCTGACTCAAAAAAGAAGCAAGTTTTCAATGCGACTATATATTTGGTACTCTATGTCTATTTCGAATAAATACCGGGTTTCAAAATAATTCTCTATAAAAAGGAGTTTTAAAGTTTACTGTCATATTGTTACTACGTCAGGTCTGATGAAGGCATGCTGGAAAAGTTCAATAATAATGAGAACGTATTTATCCCAGAGGTCTTAATATGCGGCCAAAGCCGCGGGCAACAGCTGGTATTCCATATAAATATTTAAGAACATACTCTTTAAGAAATACCTAACGTCAAAGATAAGGAAAATTCGTCAGCTTCACTATTAAAAAAAAACATAAATATAAAATCTATGGGATGTATAATCAAAACAGTGCTAGCTGTGAAACGACTTAAGAAATTATGCGATACATTTATAGTTGTAAACTTGTAACATGTTCAGTTTTCTCCAGACGGCGGCGGGAGGCGGCTGTGTACGCACGCCCTATTTGTTTACGTTTATTTATAATATATTTATATTCCGTTACTATAACAGTTTTATTCCTATATTAGAGTTGTTTTAAAGTGATTTATTTGTTATGTTTGTTCCGTGTTAGTAATATATCGTTGTAAGTGATAATGAAGTTCAAAATCTTCAAAAATATCATTCGTCAGGTGAGCTTCAACTGTTTAGAATTTAAAATTTTCAAACACATGTCTCACGCTTGTGTGGAGTGAGTTACAGTTGTTATTTTTGTTTCAATATTAATTATATGAATGCGAAAGTAACTCGGTTTGTCTGTCTGTTTGTCTGTTACGCTTTCACGCCTAAACCACTGAACTGAATTTAATGAAATTTGGTACAGGTATAGAGTTGACCGTGAGAAAGAACATAGGATAGTTTTTATCCCAGACTTTTGAAAGGTTCTCTTGGAAACGCGATATAACCGAACTCCACGCAGGCGGAGCTGCGGGCGGGAAGCTAGTAAATAATAAAAATATTATATATACATAATAATTGTTACGTTGATATTTGTATAGTTATTTATAGTTACAGTATACATGATAAGCATGTTGTACATGGAAATGTTTGTATTCATACATTGTATGGTTGCTACATTTTGCCCGTGAAATTTCTAATTAGCAATCGCTGTTTGTACCGAAATGAATTTGATTTTTTCATTGAGCAATCGTAATAATGAAATATTTTGCAATTGATTCTATTATAAATATATATGAGTTTTTATATCAGGTTTTAAATCCGAGTAGCTTAGCAACGATAATGCTATTAATATAAAAAATATAAATAAGCTTGAATTTAGATGTCTGTTATTCAAGCTATAACTACTGAACGGCTATTTTGTAGGTTGTATTCATTAATATTCAAAGATTCATCGCGTCTGTGTGGGAAACTGTAGGCTGATAGTGTAATCTTGATGTAAGAACGTTTAATCCCAAAATAATAATGAACCAACAGTGACGATACGTTGAATCGCGATCATCAATACTGAATCATCAGTAAATGGGTCTGTCTGTAATCGGATATGTTCGGCTTATTGGAATTTTAACGCTCCACACAAACACGGATTGTTCATGATTGCATTACATCATTTTTTAATTTATAACCAACTTTTGTATGGCTTCCTGAATTAATTGTGGCGTTTTTGCAGTGATTCAGATGATTCCTTACACAGACTTCGTGTTAATGTAAAGCTTGACACTTTTACTTATAGTTTTAATATTTATATACATACATATATATTGATAGTTTTTTTTTTTACAATTTGCTTTTCGTAGTTTCATCTGCAAACTCTTAGTATTTATATAGGAACTATATGAAATCTAATAATTACTCTGTTTTTTTTTAACAAAAAATTGTTCGATATTTATTATCAAAAAGTAAAAAATATATATTTTTTTAAATGCAATACGTTATTCGACTGTTTTTTTTCGTGCCAAATTAATTTACTATTCTCAAAAGACAAAATGATTATTTAGTGCAAATTCTCTATATGTGACCTTGAAACCAAATCTACCATTACGCAACTTCCGATGCTGTTATCAGTATTAGAAGGTGTTATGTGATACGTTGATAAGTTCACGGCCGGCTGTGGCAGGAGGTGCAGCCGGTTTTGTACTGACGTGACCTGGAAAGCTTCGAATGGACGGCCTTTCTACAGAGCTGTTAATACTAAAGGCGTTTGGCATCCGATTCGTTCGATATACACCATTGAGATTGCGAAATTTGTAATTTATGGTGATAAATTAAATAGTTTTTAACGGCTTTCCACTAAAATCGCATAAAAATATATATGTCAACTACATCTAGATTTAGTTTTTTAAAATTTTGTTTACTTATCTGTACGTCAGTTTGCACCGGCTAATCTCTGAAACGGGTTAAATCGATTTTGAAATGGAAGAAGTTAATTCGGCAATTTTTTTTTGTTCTTTTACGATAATAAAAATTCTTAACGTTCCATTGTCACTAAATTAGAATCTCTTATTAATCCGAATGAAACATAGTAATGATGCTAACATGTCTCTTTTAATAATTCGGTTATTATGCAAGCAAAACCGCGTGCAACAACTAGCAACTCATACTTTCATATTCATACGATATTTACTAATTTAAATTAATTGATTATTTTTTGTTGTGTGTTTTTATTATTATAAATATAAACCCTTTTCCGGGAATGCTATAGGGCGCTATTGTATTTTTCTTAGTCTTTTCTTAATGAGTTTTTTCCTATGGCTTAGTATAAAGAATATTGCTTTTATCTAAGCCTTTATTTATTTTTAGTAATTACATAAATATAATCTCTTTCTTTCAATAATTAAATAAGCATCATAATATCGTGACATAATAATATAAATAAAAATATTCTCACTGTGTAATTATCATGAAATAAAATTGTTAATATCGTATATAAAATTATATAAGATTGAAATAAATGTATTTTCTCATTAATTACTATAACTATACATTAAATTTGAAGTTTAAAGAAGAATTTCTATACTTTAGTAGAGATAAAATTATCTTTTAAATCACGATCAGTCATGGAGATTATGTATCATAAATCCAAGTCTTATCTTGAACATAAAGTAAAGTAAACATTGTGTATATGTTGTGACGTTGTAAAACAGGAATCGTAATACAAAACCAGTCGATATACACTATGCAGTAACTGGATTATACATACTTTAAGTACGTACCTACGTACAAATGAACCGCTAGTGTTTTATAGGAACAGGTATAAGGAAAGTTCCATCAATAAGGTTTGCTTAATTTCGCGATATATTTATATATTATAGCCTATAGGAAATTTGACATACATAAACTATTTGTATATAAATGTTGATTGCAAAACTATATTATTGTATGCTCGTGTTGATAATTATGGTGAAATTACCTGAAAATGTGTTGATTAACAGAATGATTTGTTTAATCGAATTAACAAATAAAGTATGGAGCAATAACTAGTTAATATATATGTCTGTATATT